CCTGTTAAACCAGTTTGAACATCTGACAGAGCGCTGAAAAACAGAACTTACGTATCTCTGGCGTAGCGATCGCTTTCATCGTATCCTTCGCAGATTTGCCACAGCGTGCGGGCATCTTCGACCGTCCTAGCGGTGAAGGCAATGCAGTCAAGCGACAAGCAAGCGGGCGTCACGCCTTCAAAAGACACCAGGCCGCGCGTTGGCTTGTACCCAACAACACCGTTGAAGCCGGCCGGCACTCGACCAGATCCGGCGGTGTCTGTTGCCAGTGAGAAAGTTGCCTGGAACCACCTGTCAGTGGCGCACGTCGAAAACTTCCCGAGAACATAATTGACCTACCAGATCGGCGCCCACACTCACACAACTTCCGCTACTACTCCCGCCAGATATGTGCTCGTCGCTAAAAACGGAGTGCGTAATACCAAACGGACTTCGGCACCCGCTCAGTCCAGTTGCCAATTGATCCAAGTTGACTTTGCCCAGGTATAAGGCTCCCTGTTCAACCACTTTTTGGTAGCACGCGGCGGATTTGGTGGCCACAAACGCTAACGGAGGACAAGCCGTGGTGGTTTCGACTCCTTGGACGTCAATAGAGTCCTTGACCGTGAAACTGTCGAATAGTTAGCTTCCGCAAGCCGTTCGAGGAGAGGTAGATCCTCCAAGTAGACATCTTAGGACCACCACTACAAGGTTTCTGGAAATGCTTACGGCACACCAAACAATGCTGGGCGCGCATTCTTGTCCGGATAGAGCTCGAGGAGGCGTCTGGCTTGCTCCAAGACGGCCTCTCTCGACTCTCGTCGGATCCAGACCGCCCCATCAATGTGCTCATATTTCTCGATCCGATCGAACAAGGCATTGACCAGCTCGAGGGGAGACAGGCCATTCTTATACGAGGCTTGGAGGTCGGCAATTCCGAGCTTTCCATCCCAAGACGGTGGTGTCTGTGGAGGGGTGCTGACTCCTTTGCTCTGGATCTGCCACGGGGAAAGCACATCCAGAACAGGCTGGAGATCCGCAACAAACCCGAAGAGGCCTTGTGACCAGTATATCATGTCGAGCGAGGCGGTTTTGAAATCCGAGTTATAGCCGGCAGTGCTTTGAACGATGCCACAGCACTCGAAACCTCTGTCATTGGCTTCCCTGATCGTGGTCGAAAAGCAGCATTCCGTCGTGACCCCAGAAACGAGAAGGTGGGTAATGCCGTAAGCTTTCAGTTTGTGCAGGATCTGAGTATTCCAAAACGAGCCTTTGCCAGGCTTGTCAATGACCACCTCGGCAGGTAGTGGCTGCAGCTCGTCGACGATGTCATGACCGTACTCCCCACGAACTAGGAGCCGGCCCATTTCACCTTTGTCGCCGATAACTTTCAGATGTTGCGTGTTGCCCGGAGCGGCAGCCTGTCGAACGAGTTTCGAGGAAGGACAGTCCGCCAGAGAGGGGACCTGGCCTTCTCTAGTGTGGAAGATGTGCATGCCGGCATCTCGGCACGCGTCCAGGAGTTGCTTTGTTGGAGCAATTGAAGCCTGGACAGCCTCTAGATTCCCGCCCTGGATTTCGCCGAAGCCTCCAGCACAGATGAAATCACGCTGCATGTCAATCACCAGTAGCGCGGTATGTTTGAGGGGGAAGGAAAAGGGGTAGGGCTTCGCCTCGATGGTGAGGAAGCCTTGCTTGTCCTTTGACATGCCCATGACTGAGTACTGATGCTTGGAAAAACACAATCACCCAAATAGCGTATACCCGACTGGAGCAGTATAGGAAGTCTCGAGTCAGGGTTTACGGCTGACGGAGATGTGAGGCTTTATACGAGACAGAACCTTGGAAACATCCACCGCGGACCGACGGTTGTCTGGTTGCAATCATAGATGTCGTTTAGTCAAGAAAACATACAGCACACTCAAGACCTTGCAGACCACAACGTGGGAAATCCGGAGGTGGTTGAACCAAGCAGGCCAATGTCTGGCCTCCCAATGGAGCGCAACGAGAGGCCATGATAACTGATAAGGCCGATGTCTCCGAATACACCCGAACAGGCTAGCCTTGTATCGGCCGGCCTGTAATATTTCAGGCGCCGGCGGCCGCTGCCTCCATCTCCACCCTGTGGTGCTCTTGTGGCCGACGGCGGTATGGTCAGAGCCAAACACCACGTGACGCCCATGTCACGGGTCTCGCCGGCGGCGCCCTTTCGTGGCCGGCGGCTTTATCGCGCCTTGCTCGCCCCATCACCACCGTATCTTTGGTGCTGAGTTGGTCCACTATCACGCCAACCCCGGATTTTGATCCCTCCAGACTGGAATGAGCCTGGATCCGAAGATCTGATGACCACGGCGGGCCTTCGACCGCTTGCCGCGGGGCCTATCTCCCTGTTCCCTCGTGGCGCCCATGTCTATCTGTGCATGCCCCACCCGTGTCGTGTATCCTGCAAGATTCTAGCCTTGGAGATTGAAGATTCTGTAGACCATGAGCTGAAGAGCTATATAGATCTCTGTTTCGCCTCCCGGTGTTGGTTGGAGCTTCTCAATCCTTCAGTCCTCGCATCTCTCAGTGCACCGGATCCTTGACTTTGAAACATCCCAACTGCAAGATGGTCAACTTCTCCGCCGAACGCTTCTCGCCGAAGCGCCTTTCGCCCAAGCGCATCAAGGCCAAGATCGAGCCTCAGCTGCACTGGCAAGTGCCCATGGAGAAGGGCATTTACCAAGACTCTCGCTGGTCTAACCCAGATCTTGACCCTATCACACCCGAGAATCGTAAGTGCCTCTTGTCGCTAGAATGCAGCAGCCACTGCCCAGAGGCTCCATCCATGTCGTTCCTGGCTAACAGACACGTGCAGGTACTTGGGGTGCTTTGGTATGTGCCTTGTCGCCGACTTGACAAGAGATGTTAGACCTACAAGACTGACTTCTCTTCCATAGGACTATTGGGCATACTGGACCAGTGATATGCTTGCGCCTCCGTTGGCATCCACAGTGTCGTCAGTCATGAGCTTGGGTTTTACTGCTCGCGAGACGGTGAGTACCTTGAACCTGTCCCAGGGTGGGAGGAGCGTAATGCCAAAGCTCTACCCTTCACAATATGGCTTCCTAACGCTGGTGGCAACATATTAGATCCCGATCGTCTTCTGCGGCTTCGCCTTATGCTCGGGAGCATTGACTCTGACCGGAAAGATGGGTGCTCGATACAGCATTCCGTTTCCAGTACTCGTCCGCTCCATTTTCGGAATGTATGGAAGTTATCCGGTCATTGTTCTCCGATCGTTCGTGGCTGCCATGTGGAGTAAGCCTCCCTTTGATATCCTGAGAGAGTGGTTTTTGCACCCTCAAGCCAAAATACTCTGCGCGTGGCTTTTTGCAGATATGGGCGCCAAGCTGACATTGCTGGACAGCGGCAATTCTATGTGTCCAGGCAGGTGACTTTCTCAACAACTGTCTCACGGCGATCTGGCCGAGCTTCGCCAATTTCCCGAATCACTTGCCCGAGAGTGCTGGAATCACTTCAGCCGGGCTTCTTTGCTTTGTGAGCACAACCAATTTCTTCGTCCAAACACTGGACTAACAAACTTCTAGTTCATCTACTGGATCTTTCAGACGATTCTTGCCTGCATGCCCATCAAGAAGCTCCGGATTCTCTTCCTGATCAAGGGCATCGTGGTCCCACCGACCTTCCTCGCCCTGTTCTTGTGGGCCGCCATCGTCACAAAGGGAGGTGGGCCACTTGTGACCGGGCATGCCAAAATGACTTCGACATACATGAACACAGCATATTCCGCTCTCACGGGCTTGAACGCGATCATCGGCCTCTTCAGCTCCATGGCGGTCAACTTCCCGGATTTCAGTCGGTTCTCCAAGAACAATCTGAAAGGATACAACCAATTCTTTGCATTGCCCGTCATTGGAACGCTGGGGGCCCTGACGCCCATCTTCGTCACCTCGGCCCACAGCTATTTGTGGGGAGAATTCCAGTGGTACATGCCTGCTGTTATTGCCAAATTCGACTCCCGTGCCGCCAAGTTCTTCACGGCATTCAGCTTCATGTTGGCCACGATCGGTAACCAGATCGCGGCGGGAACGTATCCATTTTCGAACGATAGTAAGCCTCCCCTGGACTTGCTATTCAACTCGGTCAGTGAGAGCTAACCCCGGTGCGCTAGTCTCTGGTCTGTGTCCAAAGTACATCAATATCTTCCGCGCCACTTTGATCATCTCCATCTTCTGTGTCGTGTCGAACCCATGGCAGATTATCAGAAACGCCTCCGGACTGTTGGCCTTCTTGTCCGGCTACAGCATGTTCATGGGGGCCATTTGCGGGACAATGTGCAGTCACTACTACCTTATCGTGAACAAGAAGCTCAACATCCACGAGATGTACAACGGCCACGGCATCTACCGATACTCCAAAATCGGTATCAATTGGAGGGCGTATACGTCTTTCTTCGTCGCGGTCGCACCGTTGCTGCCGGGTTTCTGCAAGAGTATTGACGCCAACCTCAACGTCGGAGGTGCTTGGAAGATCTATACCTTCTCCTGCATCTATGGCTTCACCGTTTCAGGCCTGGTTTACTACCTCATCTGCACTTACGTCTCCGGCGTAGGTGCTGCGAAGATTGATGAGGCAGTATATCCACCATCCAAGTCGCAGGCAACCGACGTGGAAGTCGGAGTTGCGCCATCCGAGGAAGATTCAATCGAGGAGAAAGCCGGGGTTGCGGTGTCCATCGGAGCAAAGGAGTTTGGCCCTCAGTAGATAGGGAGTAGCTGGCAATACGGCTGAATTTGGTCAGGAGTGATGTGCAGAGTATTTAGCGTCCATTATTCGCGGATGATGTCGAGGCGGGATTTAAAGGAACACAATACCCAGATATTATGCCCGTGAGATTTTCCCAAGCCTTTGAAATACCATAGGTAGCAATGAAGATAGTCAACCCCCTTCCGAGGAAATGCCAGTCACATCTCGAGGAGAGATGGCAAACCAAAAGCACAGGCCTAGCTGCCCCAATCTCATCGATAATATTCCTTTGTGGTCCGCTTGACTACTTCAGTGTCATACTCCGAGTAGCTGTCCCGGTCGTCATCACGACGATGATGGCGGTGGTGTCGTCTTCTGGAATGGCTTCTTTGTGGAGGATACGGGCGTTGTTCGTCTTCGTACTCATATTGGCGCATCGTCTCCTCGGTGTAGGTTCGTCGCTCTTCGTCGTATTCATCGTGCTCATGGAGTCTTGGATCGCTCCTCTGGGGACCGTACCTTCCTCGGGAGCGGCTTCGGCTTCTGTTGCGGCGAGTGTAACCAGCCGCATAGACTTCATCCTCATATTCTCCATTGCCAACAAGGTATCGACCAGCCAAGTGTGCCTCAGCGCCTGGCCTTTCATGCCTGCTTTCACTGGCATCGTGGTGACTGATCTGATCTCTGTAGAACCCCACATTGTGTTCACTCCGTCGTTCTACAAGCGAAGGCGGCGAATTATTTCTGCCGCGCATTGCACTCCTCAGTCGTTTCGGTGGAGCGATATCGTCGACGTAAGCCTCCGACGTGCGACCTCGGCGGTTGTAGCGGGAGTCATTGTCGATTTCTTCAGTAACTTGAACATCCTTGTACCGCACGTCTCTCACTGTTCGATCATGAACCCCGCCTTGAGTAATCTCGTACGTGAGCACATCATCCACCCTCTTGGAAGCTGTTGCTGGTAGATCGCCGTATCTCGAACGCGGCGGTCGATCATAACCCCTCGAGTCGACATCAACGACGTAGTCGTGAGAACGTCCACCACCAAGATCCACAACATAAGTTCCATCTTCTCTCCGCTCGGGTCGAAGAATTTCATACTCGTATCGGCCATGATCGTGCGGTCGATCAATCACTACAGCGTTGGAACGTTTGACATATGCTTCGGAGTTTCTGTCCCGGCCGATTTCATAAGTGGTCTTGGTCGTACTGGAAGACGGAGGCAATTGGGTCCGAGTGTCACTGGTTTTGGACCTCCTGTCAATCTCTATGCGATCATCACGATAATCGCGGGAGTACGACTTTTCCACGCGGTGCTCGTCATCGTAGTCGTAGTCCCGCCTCGGCTTTCGGGATGGGATTCGCTCATCGTACTCGTCTCTGGTTCGACTTGAGTAGACGACCTTGTAGGAGCGGTCGTCTCCACGCGTAGACATGGCTGATGGTCTTGCTCAGACGGGATGGATTTCAATGAATAGAATCGATCACAGCAATAAAATTTATCCAGCTGAAAAAGTTTTGTTTGGACAGCGCATCAGTCAGGCTAGCGGGATTGCTTTTTCCTCCCCGGTTGTCCTCCCCAAGAGGCGAGGAATCTGAATGGCTCAAAGTTCAGCTCCAGCTGGGCACCGACTAGGCGACCGATGTTTTGACTGGTGTGACTTAGGTGACTTAGGTGACTGAGGTGACTGAGGTGACTGCGTGCTGCTGCTGACGTCATCAGCTGGTGGTCTGAGAACTGCCCTCGTCTCTAAGTGAGACCTTGCCGTGTTTCTGCACCGATCAAGTAGGCTGCATAGAGGCTCCGATGAGGGGATTGAATGCCAGATCGTGTCGGGCGGCTGTCCTCGGTATGGAATCACGTTGAAGATTGGACGTGGGCGCTTTCCTCGTACCCGATATTACTCGGAGTCGGTCATGATAGCAACAATAACGGCGGGCGGTCAATCTTTGGTGGTTGTGTGGATGGTGTTGGGGGCACTAGTGTGTTGTGGAGGAACAGCGGATAAACGGAGTCTTGGTTACTGCGGCAATGAATCTCAAACACCCGACACGGCCTCCTGGCACCAATCCGTCTCCTGCCAGCCAAAGTCCTTAAGGGGGCTTTTCTTGATTTTCCACAGGTCCATGCAAGATTCTCTAGTCGATGTGGGTCGAAATGCAATGTTTAGGCATTGATTTGGCGACCAGAGCTGGTCCAACGTCCCCCCAACATATGGCTCTTCCGAAACACAACGTCGAAGGCCCAAGTGGTTGCTATCACGTTCTTCTACAGTATGGTCAGAGGATAGATACGTCGCCAGCCTCTACCCAGTACAGTGACGGCTTCATCCTGCTCCAAATGGGTCGCCCCAGATTCTCGGCGACGGCCTTCTGCATGACAAGCCTCAAATCGCTCGACGAAACCGAGGTCAAGGTGAATCCCACATAATAGGTTCCGGAGCATTCTCGCACTGCTTCAAACTGCCACTGGAGTTCCTTCGAGAACTTGTGCTCTCCAATGTACCAGTTACTTGGTAGCGTCTCTCTACGAAAGCAGAACCATGCAAGGCTGATGCTGCATGACGGTCCTCACTCTAGTCCAACGAGGATGCCCCATTGGTTGCATCATAGGAGCTCCACATGTTCCCTTTTCCATGTGCTCGCTTAGCGGCTGCATTCAATGTCGAGGGATTGAGTGTACGTGACTGGACAAGGGTCAGCCTTGGGTATAGATGTTGGCAGTCGGCGAGCGAAATGGTTGTTCGGAAACCAAGACAGCAGTGCTGTTGGGCCTGCGAACCCATCGGGTAAGTTCACAGGTATCTCTCAAGAAGCAAATGCGCCTTTACACAGAAAAGCTCGAACAGAGTTTCAGTCTCATCGTGTTGGAGTGGAATGTCTAGAACAGAAAGGTATCCTGAATCCCAAGCAGTGAGGCCTGGCGCCTTCGACCAAACGACGCCCTGCTCAAATGTCAACATGTCCAGCCGCCCTCTGACACCAGTGGGTAATGAGCAGCATGTTGCGCTCATTCATGGCGGTGCCTTGGATATGGGTATGGTGTTCAAGCTTGCAAGCTATGATTAGTGACACACAATACCCCACGACTACAGACGCATCTGTATATCCGTCGATCGCAACCCTTTAGCATGGACCCTTGATCATCGCCGATCGACGCCCAAGAACATATTGGTTGGCGGCACCAGCGGCTTTGTTGTCCCGCTCCCCCGTTAGTAAGTCGGATATCAACTCCGCGACTTTCTCAAAAGACGTACTGGGTTGATCATGCTCGGTTGGCCTTGGTTTAACATGCATAGATAGCCTGCTATCTTCTGCAGTCCATTCCTCGAGAGAAGCCCACAAAATGGAGAGCCGCAGTTTTTTTTTCCTCAGACCACCCGGCATAACCCCCGAGCCGCAAAGGATTGTGTTCTCTGGCACGAGCTGGGATGCGACTTCTGCCCGGCGCGTATGCTATTGGCGATAAAAAGACCACACCTGTTGATTATAGCCATCAACTTCCGATCGGAGCCGTTGGAGACATCAAGACACCCGGTGAAACAGTGGATAGCCTTTAGGTGCGTTTGGGCAGCCGTAAGGTCCTGAAGGTACCAGTTCGTGACACAGTGCAGGAGCATTTCCTGCAGGATTTGTCGGTCGGTCAATGTTCTCGTGTTTGGACCAGCAAGCTGTTCGCGCAGCCGTTGTAGAGACGGTTGCATGTACTTGGTTGCCTTTATCTCGAACTCCTCTCGACGGCTGGGCATATCGGCCCCCATCCTCGCGGCTGTGCATGCAAGCATAGCATATCCGTGAATTCCTCCCACGATCCGTCTTGAGAAGTTTGAAAAATCTTCGGAAGAGACGATCTGGGTGAAGAGATCTTGGCTTTGTGAATGGGCGTGTGACTCTGGGGTTAAACATAGGGAGTTGAAATATTGCAGTAGTTCCTCGACTTCGGGCGAGTTCCCCGGAGAAGTGGCCCGAGGAGAGGGAGAGCTTGCTGACCGGATTCCAGGCTCGGGTTCGCTAGGCCTAGCCAATGCACGGTCCTTAGGCGTTTGTGGCGTCTCACTTCGCAGTGGTGGGGTTGATCTCGGTGAACGGTGCCTGTAGCCGACGGATTGCTTTCGAGGCGATGGCGGCGTTGGGCCTCTTACTAACTCGGTGGTGTCTTCAACTCTGAACATGTGCAGCTGCTTGTTCTTCTGGTTGCGGCAGGACTGGACATGGCTGAGGATAGCCGAGGCGTCTTTTCCATGGCATCTGGACAGAGACGCAGACGCTCTGTCCTTGTTCACAAATAGGTAAACCGTCGGATGTCGACTCTTGGACATGTCGATTGAGGACGACACACGCGTGGATTTACGGAAGGGGATCTGGGGGTTCGGTGAGAAGATAGAGTCGCAATCGTCTGGAGAAAGAAGGAAAGCTGGGACATTGTAGACTTATTATTATCATGCCTCATGGTTGACGTCGGATTGTGTGCCAGTTGTTCAATTTGAGCCTCTGTTTTACCGGCCAGATCGATTTGAATCTGCTGCATCGGATTAGCGAAGTCGAATGTTGCGCTGCTGTCTCGAATTCAGAAGGTGTGACCCTCGAAATCATTGGGCGAGAAGGCTTGGATGCCCGCCGAAAACACTGTCGAGGTGGGCGATCGTTGATGCGGATAGAAAATCCTAATGGGCCACGCCTCAGGAACCGGGGAAACAAACAGGGCACGGGAGACGGCGAGCAATGCTAACAGCGATTGCAGTGTGTTTCTTCGATCGACATAGATAAAAAAAGGTCAGAATTGTACGAAATGGCTGGTGGTACGACTTTCTTTCCCTCTCCGAGACAAGGCCAACAAGGCCTGGTGGTCCACGGTGGTCCGCGGCGGTCCTTCGTGGTCCATAGCGCCAATGCATCCGTCATCGCTCGATTGGCGACATATATTGAACCGTCTCGTCGCTCTCTTCGAGGGGGGCTTTGATCCTTAGAAGTTATCCCTCTTTGGTCTTCGCTTCTAGCTATTACATCGTTGGTTGTCTTCTCAGTATCTAGCTGACTAACAGACACCGGGTGACATGCCCATTGGACTCGGAAGTGCACCACAGTATCGAAGATCAAGAAAATCCCCAGCAGTCAAGATTCAACAGGCCACTCTGTCTGCCCCGTCCCAGTTATAATGTACATGTGCCCCAAGCTTCGAGATGAGCCCGAGCCACCGGAGCAGCCGTTGAAGCTCCGCTCCCCCTATTCGACACCCGAGATGAGCAGCCTTGAAAAGTTCTTCAGGCCCATCAAGGATTCAGGTAGTATGAAGTGAGGACTGGGGCTTCGGAACTATTGTCCGAGAACTGCCTCGAGCCCCGCACAGCTGTTCTGGTATTTCGTGTCCGTTGCTGACAGATGTTGATGTCGCTCGATGCACCTCCAACGTCCACGTGTGTATTGCACAGTCAGGTCGAAGACATATCACAGTACTCGGTAAGCACGACGAAGTCTCTCATCGACAGCTCCCCGCGTTGAGACGCATGCTTGAGCCACCTGTACCCCTCCCGCGTCTTTCGCTGTCCCGACGCGGCATAGCTGCACTTTGTCATCTCATCTTGCCCCGGGTCCCATGCATGCTTATTAAAGAGGTCACTGACATCCTGCTGTGCTGATTTCCGAGGGTTCTCTGGAACTGAGCGGCAAGTCGCGACTTTTCTCAACACTCTTGCGGTGTTGGTTGCCAATGCGTGACTTCTGCTCTGCCCCCGTACCAACCCGCGACTGAATGTCTTTCCTAGCAGCACTGCAGCATGATACGATTCGTCATGATTGTTGATACATTTTGACTCCACTGGACCAGGAGACATTGGTCCGTGAAGCGGAGGCTCCATACCTGGACCACATGGTGATGATATACGACGCCCTCTTTCCGTGGAATTGCGCCGACAAAGCTATCCACAAAAAAAATGGACGACCTTCGCAACGTACCACTGCATGGATATTGTCCGACCTTACGAGACGCGGAGGCTGCAGATTGCGACCACTCACATGAGTGCTATTTAATTTGAATCGAGCACCTACTATCCGGCTAAATTGATAATTGCAACAGCTGGGCAATTTGATAGGACACCAAGTGGACAGATTGACCTGGCTCTGGAGCAATATGGTTCTCATTTCATGTTTTGACTGCGACGTCAACTCTGCCGAAATCCAGACTGTTCAGGCATGGATCTAGATCTCTTTAAGGATTATATTGCGCACGAGGCCATATGCGGATCTAATGCAGAGGGCTGTTGCCTCGCTCAGGACCTAGAGACTATGATAGAGAAGTAACTCCTCATGCTTCCGTTGACAGTGTGGTATCAACGGTTGTACCTACTACTTTTAGGAATCGTCACTGAAGGACCAGGTCCCTTTACACTTGACCAAGAGCCCGCGTCCGGCCGCGGCGGCGGCAAACTGGATGTCTGATTCGAGAACCATGTCATGCTTCAGCATCGGACGAGCCGGGTACATGCATGACATTCTCACCTTGATGGCAGCAGGTCCGATTTGTGTGCTGATATTGGGCTGGAACATCGAGATCTCTTCGCCTTTTTGGCTTCAAGCCTTCAGATCCCTTGCGATTCCGGCCTTGCACGACGAGCAAGAACCATGTATTTCTGGCCTCGTCTTCTGCTGCCAATGTGATCGCTGGTGAGATTCTTGCTCTTCACATACCTTTGCGAAAGGCGCGTTTCAATGCAGCTCAAGACGCCTTTCAGAGACTCTCTCCACAGATTCGTGGCTGACTACAGCCGAATTTGACCAAGTCCATATGAGTTATTACTCGAGCAGGTGGTGATAGGACAATACAATTGAGACACTCACGCGTGACAGGATAAACCAAGGCGTTGCTCTAGGATAAGTCCTTTCCTATAGCAACTAGGTGACAGTGTTCGTCAAATGTTTGACATCACCTTGTGCTTTAGCTGCTCTCGATATCATCTATCTATCAGCGAAGACTTGAAGAAGGGCTCTTGTACGCCGTACGTGCGGCCCTTCAGGACGGCACGAATGCAATTTCATCCTAGATTTTATTCTTCCAAGGTGGCAGCAGCAGAATGTTATTTGATGTGTTTGTCAGCGAGTTAGACTCACGCAAGCAAAATTCCTGTGTTCCCAACTCTCAAGGTACTTGTGTACAGGAGAGGGGCTGAGCTGGGGTTCGCCTGCTCGTAATAACTCGTAGCATTAGGCGTTAACCCCCAGAGACAGCGCCTAAAGCACTGCATTCAGGGGTAACCCATCAAACGAGCCTCTAATCGATATCATCGATTCCGCTTGGGCGAAGATCACCAACTAAAAATGTCACAGAGGCTTACCTCTTGCGTCCATCAGGCTTGTAGGGCATGTCAACCAAGGCCAGGCTTGTGCCTATCACTGCACGTACACAGCCAAATTCAATTGACGATCTTTTGCAAAAATGGCACTGCGCCGTGATGATTGGGTCTCCAGCGTGGCGCAGACGCGGGAACCCGACACTTCCGAGCTTCTTGGGCGGGTGACACTGGCTTGCATCGGCCGGGCAAACGAAGGCAACAAGGCAACATGGGGGGAGAGAGAGTAATGAGACTGCGAGACTAGGTACTTGAGAGCTTCATCGCCGCTCATGGACAACCAGTTGAGTGAGTGCAAAGCAATACCCCCTACCTCGTGCTCTTTGACACGAATCCAGACCGATCCACGCACCAGCTGGTTTCCTCAGAATGCCCTTTTTCTTCAGTGATGCCCGCAAGCGCCGCCGATATGCTGAACCTCCAGCTGCGGTTTTTCCTGTCGCTCCTCCACATCCCCCGCCCTATGCTCTGAATACCTCTCCCGCCATCTACGGAGAGCCACAACCTCAATGGGCATCGCAGCCTGCGACGCAGTTCACGCCAGCCTCGTACTCTTACATGACCTCTACCATCTCTCTACCGACGGTTCAGAGCATCCAGCCAGAATACCGGACGATGCCTCTGCAACCTCAGCATACATGGTCACATCCCTCACCACACGATGTGGACGTTGGCACTCCGGGAGCTCCCATGCCTGTTGAGTTGCGAGACAGGATCGACGACACGTTAGGCAATGTCATATCGCTCATTGATGAAGATGCATTTTCAGGGTCAGAAAAAGAGCTGATGATCACCGTGGGAGAGTACCCCTCCACCGAATTTGCAGAGACACAGGGCACGGATCGGGATTTGACGCGGGCCCTTGGAGGCGTGGAGAAGATGCAACCGAGACAGAGGAAACAAGCGCGACAGAAGCAGACGAACGTCTTCTCGAAACTTGACCTGTACATGAACTCTCGACTGCCGGTGTCTCTGCAACCATTTCGAGTCTACATACCAACATGGCCGCTCCTGTGTCTCGCGGCACAATACTCAAACAGCGCATACGCCTCTCCCCAATCCTCCTCAGAACGCAAGGACTTTGTTTCGGCAGATGGCCGCCTAGGCACAAAGGCCATGGTGATCAAGTCGATCCCGTGCGATGACAAGAAGACCATCGTCTTCGCCATCCGTGGCACAAGTTTGTTCAGTGTGCGCGATTGGGGCGTCAACTTTGATACGGAACCCGTGTCGCCGGTCGGATTTCTGGACGACCAGGGCAATCTCTGCCACTCGGGTTTTCTGCGAGTCGCAAGAGCCATGGTCAAGCCGATTGCGGCTCGACTTCGACACTTATTGGAAGAGAATCCATCTCGATCGAGCTGCTCCCTTCTCATCACGGGCCACTCTGCCGGCGGAGCCGTAGCGAGCCTGTTATACGCCCACATGCTGGCCGAGACCGTTCAATCTGAACTCAACATCCTCACGGGCTGTTTTAAGAGAGTCCATTGTGTCACGTTCGGAGCTCCCCCTGTTACTCTCTTGCCGCTACAAAAGCCCGAAACTGCCGATGGACGATTACGCAAATGCCTGTTTCACTCATTTCTGAACGAAGGCGACCCCGTTGTACGGGCCGAGAAGGCATACGTCAAGAGCCTCGTTGACCTCCTTTCGCGACCAATCCCATCATTGCCGTCCGACCAACCCAAGCCGTACTCAGTATCGACGCTGACGGCGCTCGGGGCGTCTATGTCGAGACTCGATCTCTCACTTACACCCGCGCCGAAGAAACCTAAACCCCCGAGATCCAAACATCCGTCCATTCTACTAAGGAGGTTATGGTGGGACGTCCCTGCTGCGACATTGTCGAATGCAGGTCGTCTCGTGGTGCTACGTGTGCCGGACCGCCCTGGTGCGAAGGAGGCGGACGTGACTGCCTCTCTGGTCAAAGATGAGCAGCTCCGACAAGTCGTCTTTGGCGATCCCCTCGTCCACTCGATGGACCTTTACGCAAAGAGGATCGAGACTCTCGCCGTCCGAGCGGTCACGGGGCGGGGCGGAGCGTGTTGAAATATCCTTGTTCGGAAGGGACAGGGAAACAGGAGCAGGAATTCGTCCGCCATCTTCTCGTATCATTACTACTGCTCCCCCTTTTCTCTATTTTTCCTGATGCTTGTTCTTCGAAGATCGCCACTGTTCTATTGGAATATCATGTAATATAACGATTTCGCGTCGCGACGAAGCACCTTGTAAGTAAGGAGAACAACCTAATTCCACACTATGCTGTGTAATATCATATATGACACACGATGTACGCTATTCATTAACCCATTTATTTTTAATATATACCTCTTCCTCTTCCTCTTCCGCTAATGAATCGCTCGATCAATTCCCGGATATACGAATAACGAACTCCACAGACCAGATAGATAGATAGACGGCGGTGCCAAGTCCCATCACCTACGGGGACACGGATACTTTACTCCTACGCCACCCTGGAGCATAGCATGGCATGGCGTCCAAGTCGGCGTCGGATGCCAAGGGAGTCGTCTGGTGCGACTCTCTCACTCCCCTTCCTATGCGCCGTGCGCTCCGCTGGTGCTGCATGTGGCGAGTGACACTGGATCGAAGTTTGTATCAGCACCAGCACCAGCACCAGCGGTCAATTAAGTAACTTGGTAACTTGGGTGACTGAGTGACAGACAGAATAACTACCAGATCGACCGGACTGCCCGGGCCGGTTCCGAGTTCGAATTCTGGAATCTCTCGACCAGATCGGCGCGTTGCTGCCCGATGGGTGAAGGCTGGGAGGCTGAAGGGTGGATGGAGCGATACTCAATGTCCCAGGATACATTACTGCGGACATCCATGCGTGCACACCCTTTCGTGTTCCCATATTGCCTACGTATTACGTCCGTCCTGACCGGAATCCGGCCTCTCAGAATCTGTGCTGCTGAACCTCGTATTTTTCCTACCCTGCCCTGCCTTACCTTGCCTTTCCTTACCCTGTCCTGGCCTGCAGCAGTCTAACCCCGCGTCACACAGAAGGCACGTCCCATTGTACATGCAATGCATCTTCACAGATATGTCCTTTTTCTCTTCTCCAGAGTTGCGGCCACTGAGGGGCAAAGGACGCAGATCTGGGATGGCAGAATCCTGCTTTGCTACTCGAAGCGATCGACGCTCACAATTCCCTCAACTTACAAACACGGAACATGGACTGGACCCGAGAGAGTAAATGCAATGCTGCCCAACGCCTCCACGAATGACCCCCCGAAGTCCTTTGCCCCCATTATCCCGCGTGGCTTGCAGAAAACGAATGTGGTGAATGTGCTGATGAACATTTCTCCAACCTTTCCGGGATCTTTGCTGCGAGATACCGGAAAGGATAGTCGCCATGATGTCGCCCCTTGGTCGCACCCCCCCCCCCCCCCCCCCCCCCGCCCGCCCCCGGGGGGGGACATAGACCATGACATGCGAAAACCGAGAGGCATGAATTCAGCCGCATGCATCCTCACGATTTTGGCTGTTCGCCACTTCAGAAAACATGGCAACACTGCCACTTTTACACGCCGACGAACTTTTTCTTCCGAGACCCAGGTGCGCCCCAATTCGCAGTTCGGGGAGCCCGGTTCAAAAGTCGGGTTCTGTACTGTTGGAGCGATGTTGGCGTCGGTTTTGACCAGACATCTCGCTGATGAAGAGACTCTCGAGAGTGCAGACGGCCCCGAGGAGCAGGGGTGCTGGGGATTACAGGAGTTTGGGGGATTGACGCTCTCACCGAAAGATCCTTGATTGTTTTGATTCGAGTGGACGCATCAGCCGGATCCGTTGTGCCCAAGCTTGAAAATGTACCGGCCGTATTTGCTTGGACTTCTGGCGTTCCTTGTGCTTGACCTTCCGACGCAGGGACTATGGCGATGGCTTCAGTGGCGACTTCTGGTTCAGTCACTCCTTGTGGTGGCGGAGTTGGTGCCTCTAGATTCATAACAGGAGGTAGCTCTTGAGATATGGGAGATGGGCTATTCACCGTAAGTAGATTTTGCCCTTCTAGATTCGACTCTTGGGTGGGTGGCGGAGATGGCGCCTCTAAGCTCGTGATAAAAGGACGATCGGAAACCACTCTCGACTCTTGAGACAGAGGGGCTGAAAGGTTCACCACATAGAGATGTTGTTCTTCTAGGTTCTCCTCTTGGGCGAGTGGCGGAGACGGTGCCTCTGGGTTCGAAACAGAGAGGCCACCAGAAACCACAATCAGCTCTTGAGATAAGGGGGTTGGGGTGTGCGTCGCAACTAGATCTTGCTCTTCTACAACCGGCTTTGGGGCAGGCGGCGAGTCGTTGGATGTGAAACCCTCCTCGAGTGGCGGCTGCGAGAACAGTAACTGAGTGCTGGAGTCGACATTTTCGCGGCCTGTGTCGATATTTTCGACATTTTTGGGAACTTGGGACTCTGTTTCATTTGTGTCTGGTTTTGTTGTGCAATCGGCGGGTGCAGAGCTCTCGCTTGTTCTTGGTTCTCTGGCGACCACTGCCGTGTCCGAAAGATCATCCTTACGGGCAATTAGTTTGCCTGGGACAGGTTTCGGTGCTTGGCCGTTCTCATTTGTTCTTAGTGTTGTAGAGATCACTACCGTTTCCAGAAGATCATCTTTGTTGGCGATTCGGTTGGCTGAGACGAGTGTTGGTGCCGGCATCTCGATTGTTCTTGGTGTTGTAGTGATCACCGTCGTGTTCAGAAGATCTTTGATGGAATTTGAGAAGCGTCTTGACACTGGTATTGTCAGAGTAGAAGCCTGTGCGCTGCCCAGATCCGCCATCATAGTCCTGCCATGGCAATAAACATGCTGGAAGGAAGGATTTGGCGTTCCCAAGGCTCGTCGTGCAGCAAGGGCGCCGTCATCGACACCTCGTCCATCAGCCGCATTCGTAGGGACGGCATCGACATGCTGGTTCGGAGAGATTTCAGCTTCGGGTACCATGTCCGTGGGGTCTTCGCTACCGCATTGCCTTCGTTTCCGGACACATGCCCATACAGAGGGTGGTGAGGCCGGGCGCTTCGGGCTGGCCGCGGGTGTAGCCTGTCCCTCTCGAACGTGCTGGGACATTCTTCGCAGGGCCCGTCGATCCACGGGTTGCGTGGCTGCGGCTTCATTCTTGAGGAAGATATGTTCGGACACGCCTTGGGGGGCCGGCTGGTGGGTAGGTGCGAAGGTTGCTGGCTGGCGATGTGAGGTCCATTGTCCCGCTTCATTGTGGGGAGAAGCATGCACGAGCACGCCTTGAGGGCGTAGCTGGTAGGAAGGCCCAAAGATTGCTGGCTGAGGCTGCGAGATCCATTGTCCCACTTGCTTGCCGGCCCAGCGTAATTCCTCTCGAGGCGGATCAGAGGTCACTGCAGCATGATCTTGTGCTTGATTGAGGATGAGGTTGAGAAATCCAGTTGGAGGGGTCGGGGCCTTTTTCTCACAGGCGAGAGGGCTCATGGAAGGTGTTCTGGAATTCTTGGATGGCAACATTGCGGCTGGGGCAAAGGACGTAGCACCCATTGCTGCAGGTAGAGGAACGTACTCTGCCATCCTGGGCCCTAGTTGTCACCATTGTCATGGAAAACATCACTGGCAGAATTGGAGCTCCAAGAAAAAAGAACGTGGGTGAAAAGATGGAAATTTAATGTCACACAGAATACGAGGAGTCGGTGAATAGTGTCTTGAGGGCCTGGTATGTACCTCTTGGTACCTCGTATTGTTCAGCCTCCGTCGAGGTCGACTTGATCTTGTCGGATCTCTATCACTGACTATGTATATCCATATGTAGTAGCCTCTCTCGTGGGGTTCCCGAATGTGTTGCTCACGATATTGTCTGTGTCTATTTGCTCTATCAAGAAACATGAACATCCCGCACGCCAAAGAAGACTGCTTTCGGCACATTGTCCGCGGACCCAGGTGGTTACCCTCACCAAATGCCATCCGGTGTAACTCCGGCATCATGCCAACGGCGGCAGAAGACCATCTTTCTCCAATTTGTTGGCTGCCAAAAAGGCGGGGGGTCCGTGCTCGTTGGCCCATGCGTACAAACCCAACTCCTGCATGAATACCATCCTCTACTGCTCGCAGGCGGCAGCACATCCTTTCCTTGCTCTTGGTCGTCACGAACAACTTCTAGATCGAAACCCAGTGCAGCATCATGACCGCAGTAGCCAAAGTCAAATCGCTAGATCATCTAGTCCTGACGGTCAAGGACATTGACGCCACCATCAACTTCTACCAGGATGTCTGTGGGATGCAGCACACCTCATTCCCTGCGGCCACCGATCCCAGCATCACCCGGCACGCCCTGAACTTTGGAAACCAGAAAATCAACCTACACCAAACCGGAAAGGAATTTGAACCCAAAGCAGAGTGCGTCCAGCCAGGGAGCGGTGACCTGTGCTTTCTGGTGGAGGATGATGTGACCGGGGTCCTGGATCGGCTCAAGGAGAAAGGGATCAGTGTGCTCGAAGGTGGCAAGGTGGTTGAGAGGACTGGAGCCCAGGGGAAGCTGCGGAGCGTCTATCTCAGAGATCCAGATGGCAACCTGATCGAGTAAGTGTGCACACGCACCAGACACCTTGGCCTTCCTCGAATCTCCCGCGGCGTCCAAAGAGTTCGCATTTCTGAGCCCCGGGCTGATCATCGTCCCCAATGGGGCCTTCCAGACTGTCCAACTTGATCTAAATTGTCGAGGTGGTGGAAGCGAGGAGGCATGGTATTGACCACGGCAAGGACGGGCAGGCATGCCACTAGGAGGTCGAGGTTCTCACCAACCTCCTACAAAGAAACCATCTTCGACTTGATGCCCCGATTTTCTCGTGCAAGGTTCAGAACTCACTGCCTCGCATTTAGCTGAACTGTCAGGCCTTTGTTACTCATTCGTTCAGCTTTTCCACCCTGTGAAGCATCGTCTTGAACGCTAAGGCCATTGCCCAGCTGCGGGTTGACGAAACGAGCCATGATAGAGGTTTAGCAAACCTTCCCCACTCGATCAGTTGGCATGATGGAGAGCAATGAGCTAGGTGGCTAAGTTTATGCTGTAGCCGGAGGGCGGCTGAGGGGGGCGAGAATACCGAGTCCACACACGACTACCGCAGTAGACGTGACTGGGATAAAACAAGCCGGATCAAGCCTGGAGCCCCGGATACGAGGACCTGAACAGTGACCGCCGTAAGGCGAGGCATGTCTTGAAGAGCCGAGACATGGTGCTCGGGACACTTGATGCCTAACCCATGTCGTGCAGCTGCGTCGAGGGTCAACACTAAAGCTCAGATGGACTCGTGCATACCAGATTGTGTGGGATATTCAGCCTATTCAAGAATTTTCGTCGTCCTACTTGAACGTTGCCGTGTTACTCGCCACTTGATTCGCACGAGGATACGTAATACACCTGCAGGCTTTGATTCGAAATAGGTTAAAGCACTGTTGGTAAAGGGCTAACTGTACAAGAGACTGGAAGTCTGGCCGGTCGGAACGAATCTGATTTGCCCATGCCTCCGGTTTGCATCTGATAACCTCAGGGCCCTCGAGACCTTCAGGTGGCGTCCAATTGGTGTTGATGGTGTTGAAGCCCAAAGGGGTTGGTCATTTTTGCTAGTACACCCAGCGGGGAGAGACAAGGACATACAGTACCTCGTAGATGACTGAGTTATTGAACGGCGCCCACAATTTTGCATCTCGGGACTCGGCCCTAACCTGTTTTGTGACCCGTCAAATTGGGGTCTCTGGCCCAGCAGAGGATCTTGTGTCTGGAAACGATAACCGAGATCACAGCGCCGCACATCTCTTTTTGTGTTCATTCAAGGTGGAGCGTGGCAGAAGTATCGACGCGTGTGCCGTTATCCCTCATGATTGCCTCTTGGAGAAGTTGGTCGGTTGGTTCACCTTTGGATGTCGTTGGTCCTTGGCAGCAATGGATCAACAGAGTCCAGCCAAGGCCAGGGGTTGCTGTACCCAGGTTGCTGTTCCCAGGTCGTCCGTACTCGGTACTCTTCCCTAGTAATATGCAATATGCAGTGCTTAGGGCACCAACATGTGGTCCTACTTAGCTTTGCATCCAGCGCTTAGATCGTCCGGGTTGTTGGCCCGCAGTGTCTTCCCCAGAACCTCCTCCTTTTCTTACCCTTGGAGCAAGGTTCTCTACCACGGGAAAGTGTAAGTATTCATACATGGGAAGACATGGGAGGATGTTCCAGCAATCAAAAGTTCCGAATCTAGGAGCGGTTCCAAGGCGGGAAGTGTTGGGTCATGGCTTGAACTTTGGTCTTCAACACCGCCAATTGCCGCCTTGACTGCGTTGTGACTCGATTATTCCGTACATAGTGCCCTGGTTTGCACGTCAGTGGGATCGGTTGTGATTGGGATATGACCATGTTGAGCCGTGCATGGGTTCCTGCAGGTTGCAGCAACATCAATTCACGCTGGTGATGAACCTAGCCCTAGTCAACCTGGGTGTCTAGGTATGTCAGTCGATTACCACCCCATCGCCTTTGCGGAGCCGAAACTTGCGAGCCGTCTCTTCTGGAGCTTGGGGACGATGCTGGTGAGGATACTGAGGATGCCATCCATACATTAGCGGGACTCCTCCAGCGCCTCCTCTCTCAGTCCCTCCTAAGTTGTTGTCACTCTGTTGAAAACAACCCCCGGCCATGGTTCAAGGGCGATCCTTGTCCGGTGTGCTTTGGAACTGATCTTCCACGCGTGTTGCCGGGCAGTTCATTCACAATGAGGCCGGGAGGGAGTGGGCGACAAGCGCTCGTCTGCCGGGGACCGACTAATAAGTTGGTAAATATCACCGAAGGGTGGATGACGCGCCTGTCAATGCATCAAGGTTGTATGGTTTCATACAGCTCGTTCAACGGGTTTCGGTTTCGGGTCGGCGTGGCCGTGCTACACCACACAGCAGTGAGAAGGCGTCCCAGTGTTTCGCAGCTAGAGCGATCAGAGCTAGAAGCTCTATTGGGCAGATGATGGAGCAGTGACGGACCTCAGCACCGAGGAGGGAGAGTGAGAGCTGGTGGTGACGGCGGTCACTGGTGATGGGGCAGTGAATGGGTTTGTCACTGGGCCTCCAACTTCGGGATTCGGGATGACAGCTCTACCTACCTACCCAGCACCTACCGACCAACCTACCCTCGCTACCTCGTACCATTCTCCCAAGGTACCATTTCACCCATCTCATCCCATCGCTGGTCTTGTCGCTTTCCTGTATCCAGCAATTCCCACAGTACCTCGTAGATGGTCCGTCCTCGAAGCTCTCGCTCCCTCGATTCGTTCTCTTCTCTTCCCAGTCCATTGTTCCCACCGTATAACTCCCATCGCTCTCCTCTCCTCGCTACCCTCTCACCTTTCGTATCACGATGCATGCTTCCAACCCCCCCTTGGCCTTAGTTCGCAGGTCGCTTGGGGGCTGGCGTGGGTTTACTCCTCTCTCTAGTGTTGTCGACCTCCACTTGACAACCTCTCTTGATCAACAAACCCTTCAACGCTGTTGGCGTGCTCGCCTAAACTAACCCTTCCACGCAGCCCGCCCCATGCACCATGCCGAAAGCTACAACTTCATTCTTGGATTCATCAGAGAAATCCAAGTTTCGGAACTGCGGACAGCGGACAGCGGACAACTCTTTACCTTTTGGGACTTTTGGTTTTTCGGTCCTGGAGGCCGATCGGTCGTGCACCTTCTCGCATGTCCCAACCTAATTACCGCACGATCACCTTTTCAACGCGGCAAAGAGAGAATCTATCCATCTATCTTTTCATATAATCCATGTGTTGCCGTCATCATGTGTCATGATGGTGATGGTGATGACTTTTCAGCTAGCCCCTTCACATGTGGACGCTGTCGAGGATGAGGGCGGCATGATACAACATCCACATGACAAGGAGCTCTCGTATAACCCTTGCATCCCCGACAAATCTGGGACTGGCCACACACTCTCTGTGCGCCCGCCCTGAGCCCTCAGAGGCGGGGTTCACCACTGGCCGCTGCAACTGCGCAAAGCAAGGCCCGGCGGTGCTGGCGCTGGTGTTGGTACTGGTGCTGGTGCTGGCATCTTCGCAAACCCGCTACTGCACAAACCGTCAAACTTCTTTTTCGCCCACCGACCAGAATCTGCGCGAAGTCCGACGACCCTGTCTTGCCCTGTCCAAGCCTGTCTGCTGTTCCATTTTCCCATGTTCTCCCTCCTTTCCGAATCTCGGTGCTCGCTCGCTCGCTCTCTTCCCACCCCTCCCCTTCCCCACGGCTATCTGTCGACTGCTCCAGTGCTCCTACTATTCCCCATCTTGCCCATCCTCTAGCGACATCACCTCCCAGGATGTAATGTCGTGGCGCACCGTCCCCGGTCTCGAATTGCGCCAGCTGAGCCCTCGCTAAATGCCATCTGCGATGCCAAGGGGTCGTGCTCGACAAGATTTTCGGTCCAGAAGTCGATCGAGGTTGACCGGCTGCCCTCTGCAGTCCTCTGGTATTTAAAGAGGCAACGCATCGAGCGACATTACCGTCGCAATTTGCGCCAGCCTTCTCTCCAGGTATCATGACTTCAGCGGCACATGGTTCGTCGTCTTCAGTCTGTGTGCTCAGTGGACCACGGCATCCTCCCTCGTTCTCCCTGACTACGGATGCATTTGCACCAGAGGCTATGTACACCTATCCATCCCAAATACCACCTCCAGGCAGTCTTGACCGTCAACACCATCCTTCATATTTCGCAGCTCCTGTGATTTCACCTCACAGTCCAAGCAATTGGGCGCCTCCACCGTTCCCTCCGTTATACATTGCACCTCCTTCTCGTCCTGTGACAGGGCATGGTTCTGAAAACGACTCTGCTTGGTCCCCCTCATCGCAGCCATCCAGATACGGTGCTCCGATCCACAGTCCAGAGACTAACACTTTTAGTGACAGAAGGTAATGGCGGAAGCTCTGTTGAGTCTCATCTTCACTGATCATGGTCTTAGGCCGTCATACGATCTTTCACCGGTAACGGCCTCGTTCAGTCGACTTCAGGAACCAATGGCTCAACCTGAAGGGAGGGCTTCCAGTCCGGTATCTGATGCTTTGGCTGACGATGTCCCTCCCGCCACTGCTCCAATTATGGAATCGCCACCAGCCATGCAGAACGCAGCTCTGACCACGGCCCTGAACCCTAGCCCGCCCCTTGTCGATACTGCCAGGCGATGTCACCTGCATATCAGACAGCAACCGCGAGCCGCGCGCGCTGGACCTGATGGGAAGGATCGAAGGTAAGTCCCCAGAGCGGTTCGACTTGTTCATGGCTGATCAGTCGGTCAGAGCAGTCGATCCACCACCGATCGTGCAGTTGTTGATGGACGACTTTGACCCTGACAATGAGGACGATGTGGCAGAAATCAAATGCCCCTTCTGGGTTGTGTTCTGCCGGCTAGTGGGAGCAGTTGCGGTGAACTCAGACGTCAGCACGCAGTCTTACTTTACTGAAGAAGGCCAAAAGGAAGTGCAACGTCTGCTTTTGGGCACTACGGTTGCAAGTCCTACTCATACTGCTGATGACCCCGATCCCCCCACGATGCCAACGCATCCCGTAACGAGAGATCCCATATCGCGACCTCACAGTCCTACGTCGAGGTTTTTGCCCACCACCGCACGAGGGAGACTGCCAAGAGCGCCACACAACATCCCCGGCGCCTTCTTCATTTTCGCCGATCTCTCTCTTCGCAGAGCGGGCGAGTACCGGTTACAATTTACGCTGATGAAGATGGAGCCTCCGTTACTGAGAGTAGGCGCTACGGTGCCGGCTCATCACGTCGTCACCAGCCAAGTCTTTCGAGCTGTCAACGCAAAGGATTTCGACCAAGTCCAGCCTAGCACCAACTTGGTCAAAGGGCTCCTTGACCGAGGCGCAGGGTTCCCGCTCAAGCTGAAGAAAGGGATCAGGGAGGGACAAAGGCGAAGGAGAGCTGCATGGGATGACTATTCCGACGATGAAGATTCGGGTGACTACGACAATGAGTGATGAAGGATGTCATTTGCGCTGGATGTGAATGCAATGATTGCATCGGGCCCATTCGCGGTACCTGGGAAGCTCCCTTGGAGCAGGTCGACGATGGCCTATGATGGAACGATTTCTGGTTGTTTTCAATATATGACCTACCTTGGGCCACTGGATAATGAAATACGGGCAATTTGGATCCCCAGAAGTAACAGACAAAAGTACAATGGAATTTACGAGGATGTTCACAGTGCATCCGGCGGACAACACGGGGATAAGGCAATGGAGAGATGTGCGAGATGGGCGGCAAGGTTGATTTGTCAAAGGGTGCAGACCGACTATTGTATGATGCAAGGCTTGCAGGTTCTGGAGTCCTGAGCGTTTGGGATATTATTTGTTTGTTTATTTTCCCATACAAACGAGCACTGCGAGGCGTTGAAGGAGTTGAGACGTAGGAGCCAGGAGGTGGAAAAGGGAATCCCCAGCTTGTGCCACAGCCTACGGCATACGACCTGCAGCCGTGTGAATGTTATTAAGGGGCAAAGGAAACCGGAAACTCGGCACCGGGGTTTGGAAAGTCGAAGAGCCAGCCACGCGCGAAAGAAGCCGTCGGAGGGTTTCCAGGCTGCTGGGTTCTGTATCTGTCAAGCATTGGACCGGCCCTACGCAGGGCGGTGATACAGGATGATTGCGTGGTACCTTGGGTACTTATGCGGGAGCTGTGGAGGCCAATCTGAATGTAAAGTCGGTTCAAAGTACGCATGTACTCCCGTCCAGTAGCGGGTACGGAGAACTTGGTGGTGCTACAACATGTGCTACGTACATAGCTACTCGGTAAAGGATGCTTGCTTTGTTGACTGGCGTTGGCTTCGCGGTCTAGATCTCGTCAAAGAGAGAGGGAGGGCGCCGCCAGGTCTAGATGCACCCACAGTGCCTTTCTTGTGTGGCTGCCTCGCTGCCCAACGGCCGCCCCATCATTTCCACACAATCAAGCCACTTACCTGAATTGCTCATCTGCGCCACCGCACAACGTAAATAGTCACGTGAACACGCGAATGCAGGCTTCCCCAGCACACACCCGAGGCAGGATGGGAGGGCTGTTGATAGCAAGAGCGAGGGATTACAGGCTTATTGATGGGATGGCTTGAGGCCGAAAGAAGAGCTCGGTTTAGTGAAGGTTCCGCTGGCGACCCTAAGGGAGACAGAGGCATGCTTTCCTCGCGGGGAACCAACATTCCTCAAAAGCAGCGAGACAGCTTTCCTAAGGCAAAGAAGGCGGTAAATAGGTGGTAGTAATGACTTAAATTAATAGTGCACGCCGTTGCAAACAAAGGAAGAGCAAAGGGGGGAGGAGAGAGGAAAAGGGAAATGGAGGCAGAGACAGCACATACTGGCTCGCTGGGTACGTCTGAAAAGACGCCAAGCGACCAGTCTGAATCAGGCTAGTGCTATCCCGACCACCAACCCTGGGCAACCTGGGCCGCCTGAGCTATCCTCAACCCATCACACAAGGCCAACTGCGAGTGGCTCATCATTGTAAACCTCTCTTATCCAATACTCTCAGATCTGAAGGGGATGCCGTCGCTATGAAGGAAATACGTCTCAGCAGTAGAGACAAAAGAGATTGCACCCCCAGCGGCGGCGAGAATGTTGGATATAAATGCAACGGTCAATGACGCGTGAGACGTGGCAACCAGGCGAACGCTTCCATTTCCCAGATGTTTGCGGTAGGCCCTTGTTCGACACAAATTCTCAAAGAGAGACCATTCAGATACTCTCCCAACGGTCGTGCCGATGTTACTTTCCCTTTATCACTCTGTCAACTGTTTTCACGACGGGGTAATAGTAACTAAAACATTGCGCGATCATCAGTCGAGATTGGAACTTCCCCAAAGACAAGTATCATGTCGGAAGAAAAATTGCAGGGCATGGACAAGACAAGGCAGCCACAATCTACTGGTACGGCCATTCCTTTAAATACTGGCCCATCTTCCCAGATGGGTGAACTCCCGTCCAACAATCTTCCCAAACACTGGAAACAACCGCAAGCCCCAGAGTCCTTCGAAGAACAACACTGTTCATACTGCAAATTGGGCCATTACTGGAACTCAAGTCCTACAGAGCCAGACGTCGAGATGCACCACCCGAGCCCTTCACTTACGAACCTACCTTCACCGACCTTGACTTCCTTCTGCGGCGTCACGCTTGACCAAGCACGCCCGGCCAACTCTCTGAATTTCATGTCATTGAGAATAACAGAGATACGGAGTCTTTGAGCCCGGAATGGATGACCATGGCGGCTGAGATTGGCGGACTCGAGGTCAACGCCTCTTCTCTAAGCTTTTAACATTCCCTACTAGACAAAAACCCCTATAGAGGCTAAAGTCCCTTTCAAAATTGGTCTCGCCGCCGTTCGCGTCAGGATCGGAAATGCACATCTGAGTGGCCAAGAAGCAGGAGTTGCCAAGTTGTCCGACTTTCGTCTATCCAAAGACATGGCCGTCACCTGCACTCACTTCACCGACTGGAATTTGCCTGGCAAAAGTGTCCAGCCCTACTTGAAGGGGCAAAATGGTATTTGTGAAGCCGTTCAGGCCATGTACGTGGCAGGCGGATATAAGTCCTCGTCCATTGTTCAACTCTACGTATACACCACCGACTGGGTCCAGACCCTAAGAATCGCTTTGCCCTCCGCCTTTGGGCGATCCACACAGGCTGCGACCTTGCCGTTTTTCGTATCACAGAATGGCCCGAGGACGACATCGGGAATGATGTTGTTAAGGAAGAGGACATCCATTTGGCCGCACAGGAGGAATGTTGCGGGCTCAGAAACGCTTCCCGGATGCAATTCTGGTCGGTTGGGTACAACCTTGCTGTCGGTCTGGACGACCTTCACAACGCTTCAGAGCTTTTTACTCAAGACGACACGACGGCGAGAAGATGGCGATTTTTCACCGACACGTAAGTTATGATCTTCTACCCACGAACTCCCTCACCAGACCATTTTCCGACAGGAATTTGATGATGCCCCTCCACCAGGTCCGGAGTTCCTTCTAGCGAACATGAGGACTGTCAGCTTCGGCACGAAGATTGGACATCCTTCTGAAGCTAAGCATCACCAGGGGTGCCTTGAGCTAAGCGCATGGTACGGACGATCAGGCCCAATGGTCTGCGCCGAGAAAGACGGAAGCTCGGTCATCATCGGCATGGGTAAGTTGGCTACACTTATTGCCGTCACAAAAAAAAAGGGGCACAAGTATATGTCTGACTTACAACTTACAGTCCAGGGAGGCACTAAAGATTCTGATTGTAACCTCATCTTGCTTTTCAACACCGAAATGCGAGACTGGTTGCAGGCGGCTACCGATCTGAGGGAGAGTTTGAATACACATGCGATTCGGAGGTGCGTTGTTGTGGTCCACTGACCGGCTCACCCATCCAAGGATTCAACGGATAGACCACGTCTTTTGCCCGGGCAGCGGACGTGTCTGCAACATCAGGGAGTGTCGTCTCGACGAATACTAGGATGGTAGGATCGACGACGTGATCGAGATGCTTTGCGTTGCTTTGCTTGGCTATGCTATGCCATGCCGTTGCAATTCTGTTTGCACCATCAGGCAGGGTTGTGTCGAAGAATGCTAGTGTGGGCGGAAATCAAGATGCTGAGCTATGCCATGCCTGCTTTTTGCACGTTTTGAATGTAACTGCTCTACAAAGAAAGTTAGGTAGTCATGCGTTCACAGCTGCAACGCCCCAACTTCCCCCCTCAATGTTTCTTCCCCTCCGTCCTTGGCCCTTCCTTGATCTCGCCTCCCTTGCCCTTCACCAATACATGTGTGATGCTAAATTAACAGCGTTCCGCCCATCCAGCTTCTTCCCAGTTTGCTCGTTCATCTGTGTCCAGGCAAGTACGGAGGCCGCCGTCGCCTAAACCCGGTCGCTGCCTCCATATAGTCAGTGCTCCCAAGAGGGCGTCACGTCCAGCCGAGAGAGACTACTCAACGTGCACGGCATGGACACGCGCGACCCACGGGTCTGAATTCAATGCTGGCTGACTGACTGATTGGTTCTGCTGATCGTGTCTGATTTACTGCCGGTTGATTCGAGATGGATTTTTTTTTCGGAGTCCGTCCCGATCCCTGGGACGCACAATGTCGCGTGCGTGTGAGCTACCGTTGAGCGTGCAGGGTTCGTTGAAGTCTAAGATTACCACAGAAGAGATCGCGGGTCCCCAAGGACACAGAGACAATCTCTTTCCTGTGTCAAGGCGACGCTCGAGATTAGAGATGTTGCTCACCCTCTAGGTTTTCTCCAGCTGGGCCAGAAACTCGTTGCTGGATTTCTCGTATTTTTTCAGAGACTCGTCCGTGTCCTTCCAGGCCTGCTGGAACTCGTCGAGGTAGTTGTGCCACTTGTTCTCGGGGTCGAGGCCCGCCTCCCCGATGCTCTCCTTTGCAAAGTCGATCCACGATATGCCTTCATCTGCGTATCCGTGTTCACGCAACAGATGGGCTAATCCGAGGTACTTTGCGGCCATTGATCCCGTCTCGGGAGCCGACAGCGCCGCGCTGACCGCGAGCCACTCGATGCCGGTCCAGTCTCGACGTTTCTTGTTCGGCTCCGCGGGACGCCATCCGTCTTTACGGAGGTGATAGAATGCCAGTTGCAGCGCCGAGTCCGGGTCACCAGCGCTGGCGGACTGTGTTGCCAGCTCAAGCCACTCCTTTGAGTGCTTTTCGATCACACCGGGCTGACGTAATGCAAAAGGCGCAGCTGCAAGATCCGAGAACTTGAAGAGCCCGTCTCGAATAGCATTTTCGAGGTCTGATTGGACCTGATCGAAAGTTGCACCTGGATCTAGGTAAGACAAGTACGAGTCCGCTGCATCATGGAGCACCCTCCACGGCAATTTGTAATTCTGGAGGAGGGACGGGTTCTGACGACGGAGCTGCTTGCTAGGTTCGACCATGTCGACTAAATCTTTGGCAAGTTTATAATTCTCTCGTGCACTTGCTTCGGTGCCGCGTTTTGTCGACATTTCGTCCAAGTACAGTGTTATTGCTCGCCAATCGCTCCTTTGGAGTGCTCTTGCTTTGATGAAGTCAGAGATTCGCGGAGAAAGGCGATTCTCCTGTCGACCCATTGCGTTTCCCAAGGCGATTTCGGCTGCGGCAGCATCCACGCCTGCGTCGATCTCTCCTGCAAAGAATGCCATCCGCAGGGCATCGCAGCCTTCCTGGCCTTTGCGGTTTTGCGTGTGGAACGCATTCTGGCCCAATGAATGAAACGCCTTGCGCAGAATCTGCGGATCCCGCATGAGAGCCACCTCAGCAGAGCCCAGACCTTCCTCTGACAATTGGATGAACCCTAAGTCCACAGGCGTCAGCAGACGACGTCGTCCTCATAATGAGCATACCGACATACTCTGTTGCGTGGTTGCAGATAGCAAGGCGTTTGCAGGAGGAGCTTGTTTCAGTTCCTGACAGAGAAGCCTTAGCACCTTCACGACGGTCGGAATCGAAAAGAAGCCTAGGCCATGCAATGCACTGGCAAGGTCGGGTGAGGTGTAGTAGTAGCCATCCTTTCCCAAGGTCTGCTCCGATTTAGCCACAGTTTCGAGTGCTGCACCCGGCGTCTTCGGCTTGGCTGGCTTGGCGTAAGTGGGAAGCCGGCTTCTCTTCGCAGCCTGTAGAGGAGACGAGGACCAAGAGCGGTATATGAATCGGAATCGAAGGATTGAAGGACATAATTCATTCCTTAGTCCCGTCGTCCATGGCCCTGTGGACATGTCGCAAAACGTCTCAAGAGCGCTTCGCCACACACCAACTGATCCTCAGGCCCCACTCCAGCTTTTGAATGCTCTGTCCCTTTGAGCAGCTAAGACCATCCAGGCTTTAGAAAACAGCTGAAGCGCAAAGTTGAAGTTGCTGGAGGAGCTTTGCGGACTGTAAAAACTGCTCAGGGCCCACCTGGATTGGACTGAGGGTGACGCCGCCCTAGTTATCGACAGGTTGCAAAAGTGTGGGTAAGGCTGAGCGAAGCGAGTGAAGACGGAGTCAACTTTGGCTGCCAAGCCTGCGGGTGCAAACCGCTTGCAACTTTCCTCTCCGCGGCTACAACCGACCCCCAACTTCCATTTCTACTTGCCCAACTTATAAAGATTTGAGGGTGGTTTCCGATGTGCCGAGCTGCCAGGCACACAGTTGCCCACCCCCCAATCTGTGCTAGAGATTCTCCTGAAATATCTCTCGAAATTAAAAGATCACCGAATCAAGAGCGCACCCAAGATGCCTGCTCCTGCAGGAACGAAGCGCGTGCGCGGAGTTCAAATCTATCGTCCCTTCATCTACGGCACCGAAGCAATTCCCTTCGATCCTGAAAATCGTCCAAGAGATGCGCCACCCGATCATACACACAAGTGGAAAGTTTTCGTCCGCGGGATCAACAATGAAGACATTTCATACTGGCTACGAAAAGTGCAGTTCAAACTCCACGACACCTACGCTAATAGCGTTCGCATGATCGAGAGTCCCCCGTTCGAGGTGGAAGAGACGGGCTGGGGCGAGTTTGAGATCGCCATCAAGTTCTATTTTGTCCCTGAGAGTACGGAGAAACCGCAGCAGATCTGGCACGGACTGAAATTACATCCATACTACGGGGACATTGAACAGCAGAAGAAGGACAGGTCAATGATCAGCAGCGTCTGTTACGAAGAGGTGCTCTTCAACGAACCCGTGGAGGCTTTTTACGAGATCTTGACTGGAGGTGCTCAAGGGGGCAAGTCAAAGGCTGGAAAAGCGGGAAAGGCGGGAAAGGCGGGAAAGGGGGTCACGAAAGCGCCGCCCACCGCTGAGATTCCCATGAAAAATTCTCCAGGCAACAAATTTAGCAGAGAAGAGGAAAGTAAGGAGCTGGATCGTCTGGGAGAAGCAGTCAAGCATGTCCAGAGATTGATTGCGGAAGAAAAAGCAAAGCTTACGAAAGAAGAGGCAAGACTGCAAGAGCTAGAGAAGACTGAGGGGAAGCCGGTGAAGAAGAAATGAAGAGATGCGAGTGTTGTCACTGGAAAAGTGTCACATATTATGCGGGCTTCCGACGACCTTGATCATCATAGCCTGGCCCTTGCAGCAACAGACTTCTTGACCAGCTCAAGTATTCTCTCAGCGGCACCCCAGCTCAGCTCATAGCCTCGCCCACCAGCGCCGTACCCGTGGACAACAGTTCTCCCGGGTCCAACGGACTCGATTTCGATCCGATAGCCACCTTCTCGCCACGGCCTTCGACCAACATTATCTTGCACCACCTCAAATTTCTCCTCCGAGTCGACGAAGTCAGGAAACGTCTCAACACACTGTCGAAGTAGTTTTACCCTGGTGTCCGGCCGTGCGGTTGCCTCCCAATCATCGACCTCCTTGGTTCCGCCTACAATCGTCCCGCCACGTCGAGGCCGTGGTACCAAGAATGCCCAACTCCCATCCGCGTTCTGTCGAGTGATTGTCTTGGTGTATTGCTGTCTGACCAGCACTGTCTGCCCACGGATGATCTTCATTTTGGGATCACGATCGAAATTTCTTCCAGAGCAGTTTACTACCACTGAGATTTCTCCAATCCGATCGCCGTCCGCCAGGTTGAACGCGTCAGCTGCGTTGGAGAGACGGTGTTGAAGAATTCGTCCGCCGTTCGCCAGAAATCGGTCCATCAACCAGCGACAATATATCAAAATATTGACGCAATAACTTTGGTATTCACATCCCCATTTTGCACCTTGGGGCAACTCACCCCGCGACAGGATGCGGAACTCATCATTTGGACCAGCATACACGTCCCCATTCCTGATTTTGAAAATCTCCTCGGGCGGATTCTCAAGGTACTCGACCCCAGGCATGAGTTCTACTCCCGAATCTGGAAATTCTCGGGCGATACCTTTCATGACCTCCGCCGTACGAACCCCCATCCTAAATTCCTCTTTGAGTTGTTCCGTGGAGAGTGGATGGATTGGGCGGTAGTGGGCACCTGCCCACATGGAGGCATAGTCTACTGATGGGGATGGTGTAGTGGGTGTTTCGGCGGCGACAATGGTGATGTTTGCAGTTGAGAGATGCTTTTGGAGGAGAGTTGCGGTGCTAAGGCCGGTGATGCCTGCGCCGATGACGAGAATACTGGGTGGGCTTGTTTGCGGCATGATGAGATATTTGTTCGGGGTGGATCGTAGCCTGCTACGGTAACAGCCAGAAGATGGGTGTTTCCTGTGCGGGAAATGTGCAGAGGATAATAGGGAGAACGGAGTGTTTTGCTCCAATTATACCAGCTTGACTTTTCTCGGTCGTACCCGTGCAACGCGTGGTACGGTCCCCGGCATTCAATGCAACCCCTCTCAATCGCTTGAACCTCTTCGATCGACTTCTCTAGAGCCCTTTACCGTGCGAGCGTTGAAGTCGATATGGTTACAAACCGGGCCCAATTCAGCCTTCGTTTTGAAACCGTAGCCGGCGGTGGATTTGCCTTGCAAACGTCCCGTAAATCACCTTTCGACTGCTCCAACTTATATTTCCCAGAACTTGGGACGCGGTGACACTGTACAGCGCAATAAAGGCGGGCGGACAGACACCTAGGTCGGTAAGTAGGTATGTAGGTAGATATATAGAGAAGTGTGTGCCTTGGTAGGGACGGAGGTCCGCACCAGAGGGACAGTGGTAGTGATACGACTGAGCGATGATGAGTTGAATAAACCACATACAGACCCTGAGTGAGCGAGCGAGTAAGTACCCAAGTAAAATGAGTGGTGCATCGACACCCTCTTATTACATACGTAGTAGCACCACCATAATGTGTACCTAGCTGGCAAGAGGAGTACAAGGTATGGGGCGGAGAACGCAGCATCTCCACCATCGCCTCCAGCAGTGTCGCACCAAATTCCTCCGCGCTGGTGGCGTGTATTTTAAAGGGCTTGAGCGTTCAACTCCGCTCTGCGAGGTACACTTACCCGTAAATACACAGCTGTGTGTTTATATGCTGGGTAGGTAGGTACGGAGTAATGTCATCTGGGGGGGAGAAACGCAGTATTTTCCAAAATGCCAGTTGGTGGTCGCCAGCGTGCTCTCAGTGAATTCCTGCACTACAAAATGTGTTGACTTGGTGCGTGCTCCATGTCGAGACGGACTCATGCTCAATCTATTCGTGGTGCGTCAGTCTCTTCCCCCCGCGAAAAGGTCCGCTTTGTCCACATCACATAGCTGTCCCTCTCTCGAAACTCTCCCTGATATCCCTCGTATACCGATCATAAAACCTTGCCAACTTGAGGTTGAACTGCTTGTTCTTGTCATTGATATACGTGACATCCCCTTCGTCCACGTCGCGCCCTCTTTCTCTTCTCTTTTTAAATCGCGCCTCTTCGGCCTTTCTCAGGTCATCCACCAGGCGATCAACGTTCTCCCGTTTGGGCTTCTGCTCCACAAACCCCAGACTGTCGTGGTCCGCGTAGAACCGCCCATCTTTATCAATGGCGACAAGTTCGCCATTCTCCATTTCCACGATTTCCAGCCCTCCGGTGCGTGCGGCGTTTTCCAGGATTTCCGCCTTTTGTCGCTCGTATTCTTCACGGCTGCGATGGCCATCTTTCAGCGAGTTCTTCTCCAACTCGCGTATCTGGCGATCATACATCCTGGCAGCTTCGTCACTCCAATCCGAAAACGCATTGTTTTCCCTTGCGGCCTTTTTCCGTTCCTGCCTCTCATCCCATCTCTCGCTCTCTTCGATGGTGTAGTCCCAAGCTCGTTTGCGCTCAAACGCACCCTTGCCTTCTTCTTCTTCGGTATCTGCTTTAAGAAGGTTGTGTTGGGCGATTGCTGAGCGTCTGTTGAGGTTTACGAGCAAAGCTGGATCCATTGCTGCGCGGTTGGCTTCCGCTTTCGCTTCGGCGAGATTGGACTTCGCGGACTGAGTAGCGCGGGATTTGAGAGCCGCGAACCGGGCGAGTCGGTCTGCATTTGTGGTTGATGGGATAGTGGTGGCATTTGAGGGAGCATCTCCTGCTGCCTCATTGGGCTGTGATATCGACTCTTCTCTATCATTGTCTGTCTGATTCCCAACCGGAGGTGTCGCTGCCCGAGCCCCATCTGTGTCTAGTTTTTCTGTGACCTGAGATGATTCTCTAGAATCGTCGGCATCATCTTGTGGTTCCACAGGATCTGAGCTAAGCTTGCGCCGCTTAGATGGAGGCATATTGCTAGCCGTAGGCTGATCAGTGTTTATAGAATCTCCGGAAGACAAAGGTTTGTGCATGTCCTGGAAGTTTTACTGGTTGGGTGCCCTGGGTGTCGTTTGAGGGTTGATGCTCGCCGCACCTTCCTTTTTGTGCTGCCCTTGATCAATGACGCATCGATTCTCCCAAAAAGTCCGCGAGACCTTGCTCTGGTGGTGTGAGAGGGGAGTCGTCTGGTGGCCGAGAGATCATTGAGAGCAACAAGCTGATATACCGCTGCTCAGCTCAGTAATGGCACAGGCTGCCAAGAAGAAGTTAGTGGTTGCAGGTGGCAATGGTTTTCTTGGGTCGCGGATCTGCAGAGCCGCAGTCGGCAGAGGTTGGGACGTTACCTCGATAAGGTATGTGTCGTGCCTGAGACATGCGTGAAGAATGCAATGTAGCTTACAGGTTCTCAGTCGTTCAGGTGAGCCTACATGGTCCTTGGTGACCTCCTCGCCAGAGCCACCGTCCTGGTCCAAATCCGTGAGCTGGGCAAAGGGCGACATCCTGAAGCCCACGACGTACACCTCCTACTTAAAGGACGCCGACGCGGTTGTTCACACGATGGGGATCCTACTGGAAGCAGACTACAAAGCCGTGCTATCTGGCAAGGAGTCATTGTTCTCAGGTCTGTCGAGGGCGTTCAGTTCCACAAAAGCCGGGAGCTCCAAGAACCCACTCGACCGCAAACCAAGCGAAGGTTTAGAAAAGGGCGAAAAAGACGGCCAAATCACTTATGAGTTGATGAACAGAGACTCCGCCGTCGCACTAGCCCAAGAAGCCGAGAACGCTGGTGCACAGACCTTTGTGTACATCTCCGCCGCGGCGGGTGCGCCCATGCTTCCCTCGCGATATATTACGACAAAGCGAGAGGCGGAGAACACGATAGCAAGCCAGATGACAAAGCTGAGGAGCATCTTTGTAAGGCCAGGGTTCCTGTGGGATAACAGCCGCAAGTTCACGCTGCCTATAGCTGCTTCGGGGATGGTTGGGAGTACAGTGAATAGTATGATTGGAGGCAGCTTAACTGGTATATTCGGTGCCGCGGTCGAGAAGCCTCTGAGGGTAGATTTGGTGGCGGACGCTGTGGTCGAAGCCATTGCCGATGAGCAGACGAAGGGTGTCGTGGATACAAAGACGATCGAGGCATTGGCTGCAAAAGCCTGGCGGAAGACAATGCTGTGATGCTGGTCACTGCTCATGACTTGCACAATAATCAAAACAGCGGAATTGGCACCATGGGGGCCATATATCGGAGCATCCTGAACCGTTTCGACCCCGGCATTCGGAACTGGTACCTTAGGGGACCGGATGACGACGGTGGGCAGTGTATATTAACATTTTAGTGGCTGAATCCTCCTCATCAAATATCAAGACATCAGTTGACGAACCAAGGATCTGTGCCTCTCCTAGGGTCTTATCCACCATCGACCTGTGGTACCAGCGACTCTGCTTTCCACAGGTCGGCATCTTGCCAAAATCTATCATACACTCCACCTCCCGAGACGCCATGTATCATATCATTCCCGCTATGCTTTACCACATTCGAAGAGTGAGGATCATAGAATAGACATAGATCGGTCGCAATTGTGCACTGCTCTGAAGACATGCACGACAAAGAAGGGCTTTTTTTGTACAAGCGGAGGTCCTCCAAAAGACCACCAGCTTAGATGGTTGCGTGTGCTGGAGCAATCATCTGTTCTTTCGCCTCTGCAGGTTCGCCCGGTTCAAAAATGACTTTGCGAGTCAACTGGTGCATGGATTAGCAAAAGTATTGGTGTTGCGAGGGAGGAGTTGTGACTTACAGCCCACATTCCCGCGATGGAACCCACGATACCACTCGAGATCAACATTGGTTTCAGACCTCTGGTGCTCTTGAAAATGGCCCCGCTTAATGCACCGGCCACGATGCTGTTGGTGGCATCATGTTTGCCGCGATAATATCCTATCGTTGAGTTTACTCCGTTGTAGACCATCGCCACCACCCCAGCCGAGTTACCCAGAAAAGGTCCTCTTCGGGTGATGCTGTTCAAGACGCTGTTTAATCTTAGCTTCGGAGGCGCGGATGCCGGTGTTCGGTTCAATCCTTCTATTAGACCCCATATGCCTCCCGTCGTCAAAGCCGTAAGGTATACGACTCCTGTGCCGTAACACAAGTCATCGGACCAGCCGCGCGAGGGTAATATGGACCTAGAGCCAGGGAGGTCCGAGAGTGCCGACTCGTCTAGCGTCAGGTAGTCGAGTGTCTGTTGGTTCAAGCCGGCCAGTGGATGAAGTTTAGATGCATCGGGTAAAGATGCGCTTCCAAGAAAGGAGGACACGTCTGTTGCAGTGGAGGGATCGAATTGTGTAGGCGTGAATGAAGGCGAAGACGAGGAAGAAGCAGTAGATTGAGGATGGGTAGAGGCTTCCGAATGCTGCCTCGAGGACTTTTTTCCGGTAAAAGCGTCCCAGACGGACATGTTGAGCTGCATTAAAGGGAGGAAATCACAGAAAGGAAGAATGCACTCGAAGGCAGAAAGGTGACAGCGATCGCAATTGCAGTCGCAGTCGCAGGTTGGCGCAGAGGACAGACAGAAAGTTGAATCGGCCGGAAGAAATTATTCGAATGCGGATCATTCAAGATACGTTCGAATCCCATGATTTCGATGCTAGTCCCAATATGGTATAGCTTCGGCGGCATCATTTTCCACTTCTTTTTTCCCCTTTCGAAAAACTACATCAATTTTCGAGCCTGCATACACGATGAAGACCATTCTGACTGTGGTCCTCGGTAAGAGAGTGCCTCTACGGCAATGATGGAGGAGATTCGCGGGTTCCAAACCATCTGCCTCACCGCGATTGATCGGAGACTGTGGTCCGACCTGATATCAACGATATGGACCCCGTGTCTTGCGCCCTAAGAGCAGAAGTCCCGCTTCCCATTTCACTTCTTTCAGAGCTAGGGAAGGGCTCGCTCAGAAACACATTGAGCGACAATGATCGCAGCCAGGATGTCTCCCAAATTTTGGCTCTCTGGCGCAAGCTGGTTCTCACAGCAGCCAGCCCTCAAGTGGCCGACAAACACATAACTTCGGCGTCTAATGCTCTGTGTGTCTATCTACATGGGGCTGTCGCGAGCCCTACTTTCGAGCTTCGAGAGTTTGTTCTCTCCCAGGATGTGTGGTTTGAAGCTTGTCATTGTGCCCACAGGGCGTTCAACGATGGCAAAACGAAGGCAGCATTCCAGATAATGGACACTCTCTGTGATCTGCTTGACAAGCAGGGGGATCCAAAGGTCTTCATTGAGATCCTACGGCATGCTTCCCTTCCTTTAGTGAGGATTGTCTTGCTGTCGTTGCCTCGATCGGAGATCAAGAAGGCTTGCCTTATGCTGGCATGCCTTCACCAGAGGACACCACTCCTTGAGGATCTTGATCAGTTGGTCCAACATTGCATTGATGAAAACCGTTTTCTGTGGACACAGCTACTGTCACAGCATAATTTCACGCTGGACGATATCTCCGCTATTGGACACGAGAATATCCTCCAATTTTTGCTTGCACTGGTCTTCGCAATGACTAATCTAGACACAAGAAGTGCCGCTCTCAAGGTTTGCTCCGTGCTCTGCAGTGATGCTTCTAAGCCAATGGGATCACCAAATTTGCAGCCTCTGGCTGAGCATGTCATAAAGTGGTATCTGGAGAAAAACCATGAAGCCCTTGGTGACTTTGCAGAGAATGTCTTGCCGGTTATTCTGGACAGCAAAGAGAAGTTCATGGCTTTTGTTCAACCGTATTCTAAGTCCTGTCAAGAGAGCGGATCAAGGATGGCCTTGTTTATTGCTACCCTCAAAGTTGGTCGAGCGAACTCGATCTTGACAGAATCTGGTATGTGTGCTCGCTGACCCTAGGTTGTCCACGCATCGCTGACATTGGTCTATTTCTTAGAAACGTTAAACCTTTTCGTCGCGGCGTTTCCGCCACTTGCTTCCCCACTCCGTGATGAGCGAAAGATGCTCTATTGGTGTAAACAAATGTTAATGGCCGCTGATCCCGAAGTGCGTACCCTTACATACGGACTGCTGGTATCGTCGCCTGCCACGAATGCCATTGTTTTGCCTGAGACCCTAGAATGCATTGCTACGAGCATGAAATATCTACATGATGATGCAGACGCCCATGAGAGGGGTGAAATTTTGAGTATCACTAAGAGACTGCTACGAAGGCTTCAGAACAGCCGTTTGACTCTACGAAAATCAGCACATCTCTTGCACAATGATAAGGATGTCGATGCCATACTGGACTCGTACAGATCCTTTACGAAGACCTTTTACACCTTTCTGAAGGAGGAACTGAACACTGGAATATCCTACCCGCGTCACATTCTTGGATTGCTTTCTCTACAGTATCTGCTTGATCTTGGAATGGGGCTTGACATGTTCTCAAGCGACAAAGGCCTCACGACGGTTTTGGTATGTCTCGTGCTCGATCCGTTCGAAGATGTTCGGAGCATCGCAGCAGCTATTCTCCAAAGACTTGCCATTGAAGGCAAAAGCTTGGTTACCAGTGCTAAACACCACAGTCTTCTCGAAAGGGTCGAGGCGCTAGCTGTTAAGACCCTTCGCGCTGATCATGCCGACGCTATGGGTCGGCTTTGTGCTCTGCAAAGTTTCCGTCTTTCGCCGCTCAATGGGCCGCATCCAGATGCCCTGGACACAGATATGATAAAAGTCATACGCCGCCTGGAGCAGTCAATAACTGGACAAGAGGCTATCGAGTTGAAGCCTGGATGTGTTATTCCAATCCATGCACTTTTGCTGGCCACGCATTACCGGCTGCGGCACCTGAAGCGCCAGGGTGAAGAGATCGCATACATCTGCTCAACGCTTGTTAATGTCTGTGGGGATATCTGGAACCAAGTGCGACTCCAGCTTTGCGTTGATTCCCCGGAGACCGCCTCTGAAGTCGAGGGTGAAATCACGAGTGAAGGGCCAAAGGACCTTCTTTCTTACTCTTGGAGGGCACTTCGAGATTCGAGGTGAGTTTTATACCCGAGGCTGGATAGCATAACAACTGACATGACTAGCCTCGTTCTTCAATCATTGATTCTCGTTGCTACACCCTCTGAGGAGTTTTGGTCTGCAGTTGGCGACCTCTGCATGGATCAGTTAATTTCGCTACGACATCGAGGAGCCTTCTCAACAGTTGCTCAGACCTTCAGTCAATGTTGCGATAAAGTCAGGTCATCCTCTGAGTCAGCAGTGCGTGGTCTCATTCACAAATGGTATCAGGTACGTGATATGGCATGCTCCGCGTTAGATTTAGGGGACTAATAGCTATAGATTGCCTTGGATCAAATCAACGAGCAAGCAAATCGGCTAACGCGACGTTCTGCTGGCCTTCCAGCTATGATTGCGGCACTCCTGAACCCTTCCGACTCAGATTTTTTCTTTTTGGCTATTAGCGACCTTATGGCTATCGCAGAGCGAGTGACGGATAGACCTCTTGATCCCGGGACCGAAGATGTGAAACTGCCACAGGTTCACGCATTGAATTGTCTCAAAGATATCATGACGAATTCGAAGTTTGCAGCTGTCGTGGCACAATACCTCGAGAGGATGTTGGAACTTGCTGCCACCTGCCTGTCGTCCAAAGTTTGGGCAATCCGCAATTGCGGGCTCATGCTCCTGCGTGCCTGTATCAACCGTCTTGATCCTTCGAGCACACGTGAGGCGGTCGGGTCGACGCATCAGCCCTATGAGAAGGGAAAAGGCAGTACTCCATTGGCAATTGCGTTTCGTCTCCTTGATGCGCCGACATTCGGCTCTGATAGTGCTCGCAACAATAGAAGTAGTGCCACAGAACTTGTTTTTGCTGGCCTTGATCTTCTTGGACATGCGATTCTCGGGGTTTCTGAGGCAGATGAAGCTGCAAGGCTTGTCATGGAACAATTAACAAACCCGACCTGGGCGATTAGAGATCATGCAGCTCTGCTATTAGCAACCCGCCTACTCCGTGGAAGTCCTGGAGAAGCGATCATAAAGCTTCTGCAGGAGATTGGTCTGTCTGGTCCGGAGAATCAAGTCCACGGCGTTCTGCTCTGCTGCCGGTACCTGATGGGACGAGCCACAGTCATCATTACCTCGACCGAGCTTGATTCCATCACCGAGTGTCTTGTCAACAAGATGGTGCATCCCAATGGGAGTCTGGTTCCTCACTCACCTTACGTCTATGCTGCTTGGTTGGATTTATTGAATGGCGTCGCTTCCTGCATTCTTGAAAATAATTGGGGACAAACCGTGCGCAGAATGCAACGCTTGGAAGGCCTAGTTCCGTTCGCTACACGAATTGATCGTGCACACTATCCATACTTGTCTCGAAGGATACTGCTTTACAAGACCTACCACATTTTGATCGACGATTCGCATCTAGTCGATATAAGCGGGGATTTGAAGATTCTGGCGAGCCAATACGTTCGAGATGCAGATGCCTTGAGCTTCGTCTTAGACCTCTTGAGTCAAAAGCATTGCCACAAACCGTCTCGAACTTTGGTCGAACTTCTGATCTGTCTCATCGATGAAGGACACATGCAGTCATGTCTTTCACCAGGCGTTCTCGAGCAGACATATACATGTTTGGCGCTATGTCTCGATTATATTTCGGACGTATCCATTGACATGCTACGAGTACTTTTCGACCGCTTGGATTTCTCACAATTGCACACACCGCGGGATTTAAGGAATGCAGCGCTGAAATTACAGGCGTCAGTGTTGGGAAAGATTCAAACTGCACACCGGGGTTCTATTTCGTGTGCACAGCAAATCGAAGGGTGGCTTCGTGCCGTTCAGGACATCTCGACTGACTTCCTGGACATTCCTACGAGGTTGAGTGCTGCAAAAGCGATTTCTACATACATTGGGTATCTAAGACTTTCTGGTATTATGGAACTCCGGCCCAATGTTCGACTCCAGCTACTCTTGGTCCTATATGATTTGTTGAATGATGACGACGAAGAGATCCGACTCGAAGCAGTACATGCGGCCCGCAAGCTCAGATTACACCAGAGAGCTGCTATGGACAATCTGGACAGCTGTGCCTTAGCGGAAAGGGAAAACCTAGTATCTGAGCTGGCGCGCCAATTCGGTGAGACATCAAATCTTGCTGAAGCTGCGATTGTCAATATTTTGCGAGTCGGGCATAATGCGAGCGATTCTTCCCTTCATGGCTCATTGATCTCGTTGTTTGGGACCTCGGTGAATTCGAAGCTGCTCACTATCTCGAAATCGAAGAATGACTTGTTTGCCGAGGAAAGACAGAATTTATACATGGACGATATCCGGGAGATCAAGGAATGGACACAGCTCCTTCATAATGGGACTTATGCATTTGCGACCCAGGAGCTCTCAGAGTCAGCGATGAAATGGACGCTTGAAGGCTTGGACCAAGTCCTCCAACTTCTTGAAGCTGACAGTATCAAGAATCCTGTACATCAAGCAACCACCTGCAGCAACGAAGACGAGGTGGAACACCGACATATCAGGCTATATGATCCCTTAATGGAGTCGCTGTTCGGACATCCACTAGGCTTAACCTATGACCATGAAATCTTGGTTGTGATGATCCAAGTCGTCAGCTTGGCTGGGGTATGCATTCAGCATGATAGAACGATCCAGACCCGTCAACTGCGAGCGAAGCTGGAAAGAATGAAGGAAATCCTAGCGTGCTCGGATTCAGAAGCGAATCCAGTGATGTTGGGTGCGGTCCAACGCGCTTTGCGAAGCCAGTGAAGCACAAACACTGCCCCGACAACTAAGCACCGACTTTGTTGACAAACTTTTACAACTTGACCGTGCTCACAATACAGGTTTGGTTCGAGCATATCATATACTCCTTTGGTACCCAACCTAGACCCTCCATCGCCCTAGACCAGACCGCCGCGGACACCCACCTTGAGAGAACCTCCACCATCGGCCGTATGTGCCATATCTTCATATATTCTCTTTCCTCTAGACGTCCGGGCTAACCCAATACCTAGGTACAGCCATTTCTGACAGCGCCATATTCGAATCTTCAGTCAAAACAGCCGGAGAACATGAATGCAGGTCTGACAATCCTGATATGCTTCGTCGTCATCACACCACTCTGCCTCTGGGGAGGATGGAAATTCTGGATGCCGATGATCCAGGAACACATGGCGATGCTGGAGGAAGGCGAACGGCGTGCGGCAGCAGGACACCCGCAGGCCGTCAGTGCAGTTAACCCACGATAATAGCTGAAGGGCTGTGCCAGGAATGCTGATGTCGCGGGAGAGATCTCGATTGGGCAGAAGGTGTTAAAGTCAAGCATGACATGTGTATTGGAATTGCAGTGGAGTTTCTGGCAAACGAGAAACGGACCGCTTTTGCTCCTCTGCAATTTCGTCGTTGACCAGGATGTTGAATAACACAGACCCGAGAGTTGGGTGCATCCATTGACGAGGGAGGATGCCTTGACTTCACCTTTCACTGCCGGTTGACCATTTCGCCAAATTTGATCTTCTCGACCACTTCTCCTACACCCCACTCTCGTCATCAATCAATGTCTGTTCCTCGTTGCTTCCTGTAATCTGCCCGGAGCCTGACCTCCCGGCATGTCGTTCACCACTCAAATAGTCACAGACACGACGACCGCAGCGGTCATCATCTCGGCAACACTCATCAGCGACATCACCACTACCGTGACTTCTCATTTATCCACTACTCTCTTCGCAACCTTCGGTCAAACCGTCACAATCCATTCCCCTTCCTCACCTTCGACAACCACAATCATTGCGCCCGCGACGGGGTACACACCAGTCTCGAGAACAACCACGCAGACATCAACAATCACCCTGATCGAGTTAGATATCTACCTCCAAGATGACGGCGGAAGTATCTATTCGACGTGGATCATTCCCTTCTCGGGTTCTCCTGTGAGAGATCCAACCCACACTCAGAACGCGAGTCAGATAGTCTACGTGGTCAATCCTGATGATAGTGGTTGGGATCACTGGCGCACAGGTGAAAAAGTGGGCATGATTGTCGGCATCGTGCTCGGTGCGATTCTCATTGTTGGGACCATCTTTTGGTGCGTTCGAAAGAAGGGACAAGGGAAGTGGTGGTTTGCGCATGCGTGGCCGCACTCAACAACAGTGGCGCCGGCGGTGGATGCAGGAGGCCCGTCGTTTGTACAGCCAACCATGGTCAATGGGGCGATTGTTCCATATCAGTATGGCTATGGTTACGGGTATGGTGTTGGATTGAGTGGGTGATGATGGCAGAAGCTGGAAGGCAAGATGGGAATGGAAGTCGTTGCAAGTATGATGGAAGAGAGGAAATGCACCAAAGTCAATCATGGTGAGGACATGGAATAGTGTTTATGGGGATGGAGAGCTTCATTCTTTCAGCCACTGCGAACACTGAGAGCGTGTTACCATCACAACGGATGTGGAGGCGATTGCTGTTCAAGGAGAGGTATGCAGAGAGCAAGGTTTGGAGGAAGCTGGAACAGCTACGATTGCTGGCGATTGCACTGACCTACGTTGAGGGTTTGCCATCGACTCTGCAACATCCAAAATCCCTTTGAAATTCAATATGGTCAACGAGTTAATACTCTTCGTACCATTCTCAAGCTTCTTCTCAGTGAGCTGGTCCGAGCGCCGTGGAGCGACCAACCAATGACGTGGCTAAGCGGGCGGGAGTGCATCCAACGTCCCCAGCATCGTCGGTGCATCTAACAATTGAAGGTGTGCCTTCTCCCCTTCTCACCATCATCACTTGCTCTTCTGCTTAACAATGAACCCCCCACGATAAGGTCCTGCTATTCACCTTTCCCCGTATTCAAATCGCCCGGACAGACTGTCCGTCGCATGTCAGTCTAAGATGTGGCAGGACGACGAGGATAACAACCCGTACGGGTCATTTAACAACCAGGACTCCTCCGTTGAACCCTCCCATCCAACTTTAGGCACCTCCTGTATGCGTTCGTTTGCATCAAAGCCTATCTGAGGCGGCTGCTAACATTCCAGCTCAGACTCCTCAGACCAACCGACTTCGCCCACATCATATTCTACTTCCTCCAACCAGGCCTCACAGTTCCACGACGACGATGACGAGGAAGAGGAGGACGGAGGCCAGGTGGAGAGTGGCCCTGTTCCTCCCAAAGGCGGCTACGACAGCAGAGTACAGCAGATCCTTTATGAACAACCCGACCTGGAAATCGTCATTACGGACGCAGGCAAGAGCGCGGATGGAGGTTACATTGTGTACAAGATCCGGACTGGAGTAGGCAAACCCCGCGGGATCTCGAAGCATACAGACTAGTCAACTGACAGATATTGCAGGACATCGAGGTTGCAAGGAGATATTCAGAGTTCAGTTCACTGCGCGCTGCTCTGATCAACCTTCACCCCACGTTAATCATTCCTCCAATCCCTGAGAAACATACTATGGCGGATTATGCTGCGAAACCCACAAAGGCAAAGGAAGACGTCGGCATAATCGACCAGCGAAAACGTATGCTTGCAGTGTTTTTGAACCGTTGCCGGAGAATGAAAGAGGTGGTTGAGGACGGCGTCTGGTGGAGATTCCTGGATCCGAATTCAAGCTGGGTAATGGCTGGCCATGTTACTTGTCTGCTTACTCGGAGGCTGACCCTGTTTCGCAGAATGAAGTCTTACATGCCTATCCAGTTTCTTCTGTGCCAAAGAACAATCTGAAAGCACCGCCTCTGGACCCAGCGAACCCAACTCCTGCTCATAACTGGTTACCCATTCCTTCCTCCTCTGCCAAACTCAGGCCCTTTGGACCAACGTCTTCTACAGGAACGCCTATATCTCCCCCAGATCAGACCTTCCCGTCCGTCGCATCACACACGACACCCGGTCCCCAAGTCTTTGGGCGGTTCCCTGTGAATTCAGAGAGACTTAGTGAGACGGACCTTGACCCTTACTTTATCAACTTCGAACAGAATACGCGGGAGCTCGAGATCCTACTACAAGGCAGTATTGAAAAAGTGAACCGCCGCACGATCGAGCATCTGACCAAGCTTTCCGCGGACCTTGCAGAGCTGGGTGCGCGGTATAATGGATTCTCACTCTCCGAGCAGTCGCCAACTGTAGCAGCAGCAATCGAGCGGATAGGTCAGGCTGTTGACAGCACGTATATCTCAACCGAGGAGCTATCGCTCAGCTTGGGAGCTACATTCGCCGAGCCTATGAGGGAGAGTGCACAGTTCGCAGGCGTGGTTCGGAACGTGCTGAAATACAGAGTCCTCAAACGAGTGCAGCAAGAGATGACCAGAGAGGACTTGGAGAAGAAACGGCATCTCCTGGACCAGCTGGAGCGCAGTGAGTCAGAAGCGAAACGGATTGATGCGTATCTGGCCGGTAGCACCACACTCGCGAGCCCACCACGGCGCTCAGCATCGAACGCATCCGCAAGGGGCCCACCAGAGAGAAGGGACGGACAGCACGAAGAGACTGAATCTGTTGACTCTGACTTTCCACCCACTCACGGCGAGCCTGCATCATCGCCTCCTTCGGCTGCACAAGGTCAGCCGCACCAGACTCCAACCTCACCAGCGACACACAAAAAGTCTCCCAGCGGCAACTTTGTGACCAACAAGATATTTGGCAGCTTCAGGCATGCAGTGAACGGCTTTGTGGATGTTGACCCGGAAAGGACGAGACGGGATCAGATTGGGAAAACGCGCGAAAGCCTGATTCACTTGGAACAGGCTCTAGAAGTGTCGGAGAAGGACGTCCACGACGCGACCCAAGGAGTGATGCGAGATTTGAAGAGGTTCCAGAAGGAGAAGGAAGATGACCTTCAGAGATACATGGTGCGTGCTCTACAGAAAGAGTCCTCGAGTTACATTCTGGGGAACTTGGACTTGAAACTAACTTTGCGTGCTTATCTAGGTTTCGTATGCACGATGTCATATCGAGTGGGCGACAAAGAATTTGGAGACATGGTCGGAAGCGAGGGATGAGGTGGACAAGATTGTTGCGAGATAATTTCACCCGAGCCCTGAGAAACACTTGATTTGTTGCAGGAGGCTATTATCAAGTGCGGAACAGTGGGCAAGGGCAGCACAAGGCTAGTGAGGCGTTGCGAAAGCCTTGTTGCTGCTGTGTCAGCCTCGTCCCGTTATGATGGACCCAAGCAGGCGGACAATATATACGTCACCTATGGCTTACTACTAGTATGACAGCCACAACAGATTATTGCCCTTTGGAACTGTGGTGACCTGGATTCCACACTTAGAGTGGATAGTCTTGCGTCGGTTTACCAGTCTGGGTGAATGCGCGCCTTGGGGTGTGTAGGCCCGCGGCTCGGCTAACAAGATTTTCAGAACGGCGATTGTCCTTTCCAGAACAAAGGCTTGCCAAACACAATCAGTCCCAAGACAGTTGCGACCCTATTTGAAGGCCTTCCCATGATAATAATTCTGCCAGTCGTGGCTGAGGCCGGCGCTACCCTTAGCTCTTCACTGCAGTCAGTTCTACCTATTTCCTAGCACCCTTACTGCCCTTTGCACTTTCGTTTTCTTAGCGCAGGCAAACCGCCAGTGAAGTCGGCAGCCACCAGGCTGGGATCCACCCGCAACTCTGGCCCTCACATTCTGCGGGCGTCATTTTCAGACCCTCATCTTCTGCGAGGTACACGCTCATTCTTTCGACAGTCAGATTTTTGCCCTGCTGCTCCCTCTACTTCATGGTCCTGGCTTAACTTACGATCCTGGACCTCATCTTTACCACTCCCTCCGAGCACTCCCGCCCGGGACATGCCCGCTTCCTCTCAAAAACTTCCCAATCACCAGAACCAGCACCTCTCGCAATCCAAGGATGATTTAGGCAGGCACCTGCGCTCCGCTTCCCCTGCTGTTAAGAGGCCGGCGTCTGATATGGGGGCCCAGGATAGAGAGTCCTACAACAGTGACGTAGAAATGGGTGAAGGGCAGTTGCCGCGCTCTGGGCCTGGGCTCACGCCCGTCAACCCAGACAACGCGCCTCCGGCTACTCAGGACACTTTGAAAGCAAAGCAGCAAGACACGGGGTTAAGACATCGCGATATATTGGCGACAAATCGACTGACCCACACGAGTGATCCCCGTGCCGTCCAGCAAAGCGCTGCTTCTCTGTCAGACAACAGTGGCAGTTCGACCACGGATTCCCTCTTTCCTAGTCCCTCCAACCGATCTACTGCGGCCACTTCGTTGAACGCTGATGTTCCCCCCACCGCTACATCCATACCTTCTATCGACGACCAGATCGCGCAGGTGACAACTCTCTGGCAGAAAGAGCTTGAAGAGGGTCAAAAGGGTTATGTCATTTCCGCAAAATGGTTCCAGAAAGTCCAAGCTCGTGGTTCTCTGCCTGCCGACGTGGGAAAGATTGAAAAATCAGCAACTGAAGGAGAAATTGGACCTGTCGACAACTCGGACATTGCTATGGTGATTGACGAGGATGTTAAGTTGACGGACGAGGCTGGCGAAAAATATGTGCCCCTCCGACCGGGTCTGACACTGGATGAAGACTATCGAGTTTTCCCTCAGGAAGCCTGGGACCTGATCATGTCATGGTACGGGCTCGCAAAAGATTCTCCTATCATTACTAGATACGCCCACGACTGGAGCGGTGCAGACGCAGCAATGCCGAACGTTACGTGGGAATTGAATCCCCCGCTCTTTTCCTTCCTCAAGGTGCCTAGTGAGCACACTACCCAGACCCAACGTGAGAAGGATCTCCCGCCCCAACGAATGATTGCGAGCAAGAAGACCTTGTGCAACGACTGGCTGAAAGAAGGCAAGAAACTTCTACACATTGACATGAACACAAAGGTCAGAGTGTGGAGAATTCTCGGCGGCATGAAAAATGCCACTGCTTCGGGCGGCCTCACTCCATCCGCTTCTAGAAGTGCCTCTCCGGCTCCCGGCACTGAAATTGTGGCCACCGCAGGTGACAGGATGCTTCTTGACGTCAACACCTTCATCCACCTTCAAGTAGGCGAGCACCGTGAGCTCCTTACCGAGATTAAGGACAACACTGCGAACCCTAATTACAATGGGAAGACGTCAACATTGAGCCTTGTTGGTCTGGGCAGGAACGAGGAAGTGATTGTTCTCGAGGAACAAAAGACTGGGAAGGATGAATGGCCAAGTGAAAGCTCTAAGCTCAGCCTGAGCAGAGGCATCAAGGGCGCGGCTAAGAACCTCACCCCAAGTGGCAGATCCAGTCCAGCTCCTGGCATGATGACGCGCGGACGGCAG